TCTGCAGGCGGGTTACTCTGACCTTGACTTTGCTGAAAGCTCTCTCATCCCAGGTGATGCATTCTGTTCTGGCCTGGACCATAACCTACTTTTTATTTTCTGCTTCCTTGTTAAAAGAGTCATATAAGCCCAAATCCACCTCCTGGTACAGCCTCCAATCCCATAGGAAAGTTACTGCTCCAAGCAGTCCTTCAGTAAATAGTCTCACAGACTTTCCTGCCTGGGCTGGCTTTGAACCACAATCCTCAGATCTCAGCCTCCTGACTAGCTAGGATTACATGGGCACCTGGCTTGGTTGCTTTCTTTCTCAATTTTCCTAACAGACTCAGTCCTGTGAGATCCTCAGCTTGGTCCTTGAACATCACTCCTTTAAGATAAAACAGGCAACCTTCATTCAGGACAGACAAGCAGTGGGAGCCACTAAGCCCCTATCTACGGCTAGGTCATAGGTTAATCATTATTATAAATCAGGCTAGGTGGCCTCCCCTCTCCCAACTTGTTGATATAGTACGTCAACCAATTTTATAGAAAAAAAAAGGGGCTGGGAAGGTGGCTCAGTGGTAGAGTGCTTGCCTTGCATACCTGAGGCCCTGGATTCGATTCCTCAGCACTACATAAGCAAAAAGAAAAAAGCCGGAAGTGGCACTGTGGCTCAAGTGGTAGAGCACTAGCTGAAGAGCTGAGGGACAGCGCCCAGGCCCAGAGTTCAGACCCCACGACGGGACCCAAAAAAAAAAAAAAAAGATTTTATTAAGGAGGCAATCAAGGAGACAGGAAAACAAGCCTAGGGTTTAGGGTTACTTATAGGATACAGAAACAGGGTGGTCCAAATGCATGGAGAAAGGTAATTGTGGGTAAGGAAAATTAACCAGTGGTCTGTGCGTGTGTAATCTAATTTCATGGTCTTCATAAAAAATGCTGACACTAGCATGATCTGAGGGTGGAGTTTTGACCCTCTGACATCAACGAAATCACCCACTGATCCCTGGTGGTTAGACAAGAGCTGCCGGTAAATTCTGAAAAACAATTTCAGCAGCCTGTTAACTATCCTGACCCATTCACCAGAGGCAGCAAGTGAAGTTAAAGGGTTTACTGAGGTTTTTTCCGTTTCATCATCTCAAAGGCAGCCACTCTGAACCACTTGACTGTTTTCTCCTCAGATAAGAAAAGTTAGGTAGGTTAGACCAGCAAGGTCTGAGTCAGCTGATAAATTCCTGAGAGGCCAGGGAGGGCTGTTTTCCTCACCCATAAATAACCCAAGGTAAGGTACTATCTCAGATACATTCTGACTCCCTCAAGTTTTGCTGATCTAGTTAAGCCTGTGCACCACAATCCCTACTAGCAGCTTGCTAAGTAGCAGAGCCACTTGGACAGAGCTCTAAGTCCCAAACTATGATAGCTGGGGGATAGTGCCAGACTCGGCTCTCCTGAAGGCCACCCAGCCAGCTGAGCTCACAGGGGCTGGCATGCAGTCTCCTGGGGGGTGCAATCCCTTCCATTTGAGGAAGAATAAAGTCATGCCAAAAGACTTAGCCCTGACACCTGCTGGTAAACTCAGCCACAACAGCTGCTACTGGCCACTGCCTGAGCATCAACCAGGCCCAGAAGTGGGCAGGGTATCCAGGGTAGTGAGAAGGCCACAGGTGCAGTGTGATGTAGATCCTGCTGTAACTGAGGCACAGGGAGGAGGTGCTCACTAGGGCTGGGGTAGGAGCCTTCTGCTTGAGATTACTGAAAGAAGACTGGGTTGATTGAGAACTGAGATTGCCTAGCAAGGAAGTGCCTATTAGAAGTGCCTGCCTCATTCAGAGAAAGTCAGAACTGAAAACCCAGACTTCTTGTAAGGAGGGGAAGCCTCAGCCAAGGATGATTGGGGCTTAATGCAATGAATTTTGTAAACCTGATGACAGGTGTCTGGTGTGTGTGCACGCGTGCGCGCACGTGTGCAGCCAGTGTTAGACCTTGAACTCTGGGCCTGAGCATTGTTCCTTAGTTTCTATCCTCAATGGTGTCTGGTGTGTGTGTGTGTGTGCGTGCGTGCGTCTGGGCCTGAGTGTGTGTGTGCGTCTGGGCCTGAGCATTGTTCCTTAGTTTCTATCCTCAATGGTGTCTGGTGTGTGTGTGTGTGCGCGTGCGTGCAGCAGCCAGTGTTAGATCTTGAACTCTGGGCCTGAGCATTGTTCCTTAGTTTCTATCCTCAATGCTGCTGTCCTACCATTTGAGCCACACCTCCACTTCTAGTTTTTTGGTTGATTTGGAGGAGATAGAACATCAAGGACTTTCCTGCTCAGGCTGAATTTGACCCATAATCCTCTGATCTCAGCCTCCTGTATAGCTAGAATTACAGGTGTGAGCCACTGGCATCTGTTCTTAAAATTTTGTATTTTATTTTCTTCAAAATATGTCTACACAAGCCAAACATTTTTTTTTGGGGGGGTACTGGGACTTGAACTCAGGGTTTCACGCTGGTGCTCTACCACTTGAGCCACAGCTTCAGTTTCAGTGTTTTGCTCATTAATTGCAGGTAAGAGTCTTACAGACTTTTCTGCTCAGGGTGGCTTTGAACGTTCATCCTCAGTAGGATCCTCCTGAGTAGCTAAGATTACAGTGACCAGCTTAAACTTTCCTCTGTTGTGGTTTTCCCCAGATTTTCAGATCTTACCTTAATTTTCTCCATGTGATCCTTGTTATTATACTATTTTTTGTTGCACTACTGCACCTGAGAAGTGGTTTTAAATAGCATGCACATCCTAAGAAAATGGAAGTCTTCAGGAACCTCCCTACAGCTTGGAGAGCAAAATCTTCTCAAATTTGGAGTCGGATACAGTTGGACTCTGCTCTCAGAACTCAGCTGAACCTGGCTGCCACTGGCCAAGGGAAAAGGCGTAACAGGACCCAGGGTGGGGAGATGTAGGGAGAAGGAAAAACACCTTTCCCCTAAAAAAAACTCCAAACCAAAGCATGAGGGACTCACAGCGGCTCAGCTCCTACAATTCCACCAGGCTCATGGAGGGCGTGAGGGAGCCTCAAACCTATATGGGGGGGGTGCAGCAAAGCTCTAATCTTGTAAATCTGATTGCTAATATTTTGTCAGTGGGATGAGAAGATGATAGGAGTTAGTAGAAAAGCAGAGTCTTTCAGTTGAGCTATTTTTAATGCTCTGGCAGCAGTTGGTAGTGGTATTGCTGATATGGAATTTCTCACCCCTGAATTGGGGGATAGCTCAGCAATTAAGAAAACCAGCAAAACTAACCAAAACTAAACCAAAGCAGGTAGTGGATGACTGCCAATTTTGCTTCACCTAGGAAGGATGCAGTTGAGGACTCTCACTCCATGGAGTTTGGTCTGTTTGCGGTGTGCCTTGTTTGCCCTAGGTAGGAGACGCTGGATCCATTCTGGTTAGCGTAAGACCATGTGCAGCAATGTTTCTTGTCTTCCCTCAGACCACTGGGTGCTTTTCTTTCTTCTTTTTTGTCTGTCATGGGGCTTGAACTCTGGGCCTGGGCATCATCCCTCAGCTCTTCAGCTCAAGGTTAGTGCTCCACAACTTGAGCCACAGCATCACTTCTGGTTTTCTGGTGGTTTATTGGAGATCATTCTCACAGGCTGGCTTTGAACTATGATCCTCAGATCTCAGCCTCCTGAGTAGCTAGGATTACAGGTGTGAGCCATCAGCACCCAGTTTCACTAGGTGCTTTTTTTTTTTTATCACCCGGCAGGATGAAGGAGTTGAGGACTCAGCTCTCTCCACTTGGTTTGGCCTCTTCCTCAGCTCACAGCTCACCCTGTACCTGAGAGTCTTTGCCCTAGGCAGCGGACCCAGACTTCAATCTTAATGAGTGGAGTCACCTAAGGCAGTTTTGCAGCCTTCTGCTAGCCCATGGGTGCTCTGTAGCTGCTCTGGATTCTTATTAATTTTCCCTTTTTTACACACCAAAAATCCATTTCCTTCTATTCTATTCTTTTATTCTATTCTACTTCTTCTATTCTATTAGTGCCCTCCCCACCTTTCTAAATTACCTTCATATTGTGTGTGTGTGAGTGTGTGTGTGCATACGTGCTGACACTGGTACTTGAACTCAGGGCCTTGTACTCTCACTTGGCCTTTTCTGCCAAGTGATATTCTACCACTTGAGCCACAGCTCTACTTCTTGCTTTTTGATGGCTAACTGGAGACTAAAAAGTCTCACAGTTTGGAAGTGGCATTGTGGCTCAAGTGGTAGAGCGCTCGCCTTGAGCTGAAGAGCTCAGGAACAGTGCCCAGGCCCAGAGTTCAAGCCCCATGACAAACCAAAAAAAAAAAAAAAGCTGGAAGTGGCACGCTAAGTGGCAGAGTGCTAGCCTTGAGCCAAAGAAGCTCAGGGAAGCCAGGTGCCGGTGGCTCACACCTGTAATCCTAAGTACCAGGGGGCTGAGATCTGAGGATCACAGTTCAAAGCCAGCCCAGGCAAGAAAATTCCATGAGATTCTTATCTCCAATTGTCCACCAGAAAACTGGAAGTGGCACTGTGGTTCCAGTGGTAGAGTGCTAGCCTTGAGCTGAAGAGCTGAGGGACAGCACCCAGGCCCAGAGTTCAAGCCCCAGGATTGGCAAGTGAAAATAAAGTAATAAAACAAAAAATACATAAAAGTTCAAATGCCCAAATAATGGTAGAAAAATCTTTTCTCTGAGTGTAGTTTAGACTCAAGGTCTTGAATTGCTAGGCAAACATTGTACCATTTAAGCTATACCCCCACCCCATTTTGCTTTGGTTATTTTTGGGAAGGTTTTTCTGTTTTTGTTTTTGGCCTTGGCTATATTTCTAATTTCTACTTCCTTAGCAGCTAGCTGGGAATGAAGACATGGGTTACTGCACCAAGGCTTCCTCTCCCCCTCCCCCAATACTGGAGTTTGAACTCAGCCTTGTATTTGTTAAGAAGCATCTTTTGTTCTTTCAGTCTTGGCTACATTTGTTTTTGAGATCTTGCATGTCTTTTCATTCATAAAACAGACAAAGCCATCAATGTTCTCTACTTTTATTAATTTTCAATTTTCTCAACACATGAACTATAGCTCATTTTGAGATTTTTTCAGTGCATTTCACGGCAAAAATGAATAGCGAATCATTAAAATGGTTGTTCACAAACCAATTCTTTTTCTTATAGTTTACAATTTGTTGAAAAATTGTTTTGCTGTTTTTGTTCTACTATAGTGCCCCTCTAACAAAATAAAATTGAGAGCAGAAAGCTTACAGTTCTTATGATGGTGCGAGAGACACAGCCCTCTAAAAGGGCTGTTGATTATTAACAGGTCCAAGTTACGCACACTGATTGGAAGACCACATCAGAAGAAACAGAGTAAGGCACCACTCTTGGGAAATTAAGGTAGCTTGCAGTAACAGGTGTTGAGCACCTTAAACAGGTGCTCAATAAATACTAGAATGAATGATGAAAACCATAATTCACACTATTCTTTTTAATTGTCAGCAACTCTTCAATAAAATACTGATTTAAAAAAGATTTGTACCTGAATGCAACTTCCTGATCTTTTTTTATTTCCACTCTTTCTTCTGCATTTAAATTTCTTGAAAAGAAAACTAAAACCAAGATTAAATATGCTCAGTCACATATATAACTGAATTACTGACAAATATGAATAGTCATTTAATTTTTGAATGAACAGAGGTAAGATACAGCAAATTTATCCAGATGGATAACACATAATACTGACTATTAACCTACAAATGGAAAAAAGATAAGAAAAAAAAAAACAGTTCTACTTTAAAATATTTGCTATTTTCTTGAATGCCTTTGTTCTTGAGAAAGGCCAAGACCTCATCATATTGACATGAACATATCTTAAAAAATTGTCTCTTACATGTAATATTTAATAAAACTAGGTAGTGAAAAATGTTCTGAAACTTTTCAAGTCAATGTTGTTTTCAAGTATATTAAAATGGTCAGAAGAAAAAATTCTCCATGGTTATAATTCTAATTGATTTATAAATATACTTTTTAAAAGAGAGTTCCAACAGAGGTGGATAATGGATGAGTTCCTCAGACACAGGCACATAGTCTTTGAAGAAACAAAATGCCTTGTTACTACAACCTGGTGATATATTAACACTGATTTTTTTTTTTCAGGCACAACGGCTGAATCCACTTCTGGATCATGTTCTTCCTCCTCTTGGTTGGTTTATAAGAGTAGTGTACTTCAGTTATGAACAGAAAGCAAAACACAAACTCTGAGAGAGACTTCACTTTTCACTACAAAGAAATCAAAGTCACTGAGTTCTCACCTTGTGTGTATCTGCTGCCCCTGTGCAAAATAGAGGATTCAAACAGCTTGAGGACCAGGAACTGGATAAAAGATTAACCACCTAATAATTCAGGTAAAAGGTTTTAAGATGGTATTGCTCACATCGAATGAACAGGTTGCCAGGAGGCCCGTCCATTATGTTAACACTTTGGTCTTGCTGCAGTGTTACAGTGCCCTAGAGGGACATTCCTGCTTAGCTAATTTTAGTCTGTGCAATCAGGAAACAGGTCACTCAGTGCAAGGACTCCGATCTGAGAGGGTTTGGGGTAAACAGAGAAGAATCTCATTTGGTCAAGTCTTACAGCGAGAGAGCATCTGTCACTCTGCTGGTTGTGTCGTGGGATTGACTTTCCAAAGGGGCTTGTGATAAACCCAGCCATCTCCCTGAAACAAATTGAAAAATTAATATTAAAGAACCATTCCTCCAATAATTTCAAAGTCGGAAAATCAGAAGCAACATCTTCACTAAAATGTAATTCTTCCATTTTCATATATAAAGAAGAGTTTTTGTTAGAGCATAAAAATCTGTGCTTGGAGACTATGCTTAAGATTTTGTCAAACAAAGCTTACAGTTGGGTTAAACTCTAACTACCATCAGCTCCTAACTACTCTGTAATCTACCTGTAGAGCAATAGTGAAAGCACTAGAGGAAAAGCTCTTCATGAAACATGTGCCATATGCCCAGCACTCTGTTTAGAAGCATAAGGAAGACAAAACCCAACTTTTCAATAACCTGTGATTCTTCATGGCAAAGGATCACCCAGCAGTAGCTCAAATCTATTACGTAGTGGGTGCATTACTAGCTCCCTGAAGTGAAGCTAGTGTGTCACAGCATCCTCTTATTTATTTATTTATTTTGCTAGTCTTGGGGCTTGAACTCAAGGCCTGGGCGCTGTCCCTGAGCTTCTTTTGCTCAAGGCTAGTATTCCACCACTTGAGCCACAGCACCACTTCTGGCTTTCTCAGTTTATATGGTACTGAGGAATAGAATCCAGGGCTTCATGCATGCTAGGCAAGCAGTCAACCAAGAGGCCACATTCCCAGCCCCACAGCACCTTTTTATAGTCTAAGCCCTTCCCCCGCTATTTTTTTGGAGGTCAGTGGTGGGGCTTGAACCCTGGGTCTGGGCACTGTCCCTAAGCCCTTCAGCTCAATGTGAGTGCTCTAACACAGCACCAATTCCGGTTTTCTGGTGGTTAACTGGAGATAAAGTCTCATCTACTTTCCTGCCTGGGCTGGTTTTGAACCAGTGATCCTCAGATCTAAGTCTCCTCAGCAGCTAGAATTACGGTTGTGAGCCACCGGCACCTGGCTTGAACTGTTACTTTTGTTTTTGTTTTTGTTGGCTGGCTGCGGGGCTTGAATTCAGGGCTTGGGTTATCTCCTAGAGCTTCTTTTTGCTCAAGGCTAGGACTCTACCACTTGAGGCACAGTGCAACTTCTTGCTTTTTCTGAGTAGAGATTAGTTTAGAGATTAAGAGTCTCACAAAGTTTCCTGTCTGGTTGGCTTCTTCTAACTGTGATCTTAAGATGTCAGCCTCCTGAGTAAGTAGGATTATAGGCATGAGCAGCCAGCATCTGGCTCAAGTCCTACACTGCTTTTGTTTTTTTCTTTTTGGTTGTGGAGCTTGAACTCAGGGCCTGGGTGCTGTCCCTGAGCTCTTTTGCTTAACACTAGCACTCAACACTGAGCCACAGCTCCATTTCTGGTTCTGGTTTTTGAGTGGTTACTTAGAGATACGAGTTTCACAGGGTCTTTTCTGTCCAGGCTTGTTTTAAACCATGATTCTCAGATCTCAGCCTCCTGTGCAGCTAGGATTATAGGCGTGAGCCAACAGGGCATAGAAGTCTTTTACTTTTTAAAAGGTTCTATGACATTTAATATTCATGAATGATAATGTAATGACATTGAGAAAAGGCAGGACTTCCCACAAACCAAAATATAAATTTATTTCATTTGTAATTCCTTTTTTACGTACTCTACCACTAAAGCCACATTCCCAGCCCAAAATGAATATAGATTTCAAGTTTAGATTTCTTTTTTTTTTTGGTCTGTCGTGGGACCTGAACTCTGGGCCTGGGCGCTGTCCCTCAGCTCTTCAGCTCATGGCTAGTGCTTTACCACTTGAGCCACAGGGCCACTTCCAGCTTTTTCTGCTTATGTGTTGTTGAGGAATCGAACCCAAAGCCTCAGACATGCAAGGCAAGCGCTCTACCACTGAGCCACCTTCCCAGCCCTCAAGTTTAGATTTCTTTGTAATAATATTAAAAATTTCTTTTTTTAAAATCAGTCTTGGGGCTTGAACTCAGGGTCTAAGCATTGTCCCTGAACTTTTGTTCAAGACTAGCACTGTACCACTTGAGCCACAGTGCCACTTCTGGCTTTTTCTGCATATGTGGTACTGAGGAATTAAACCCAGGGCTTCATGCATGCTAGGCACTCTACCACCAAGCCACCTTGCCAACCCTAAAATACTTTTTTTTGTTGTTGTTGGTCATGGGGCTTGAACTCTGTCTGAATGCTGTCCCTCAGCTCTTCAGCTCAAGACTAGTGCTCTACCACCTGAGCCACTGCACCACTTCCAGTTTTCTGAGTGGTTTATTGGCGATAAGAGTCTCACAGACTTTCTGCCCGGGCTGTCTTTTAACCATGATCCTCAGATCTTAGCCTTCTGAGTAGCTAGGATTACAGGCGTGAGCCACTGGTGCCCGGTTAAAATATTTTTTAATACTGAAAAAAGATGAAACTTTCCTTTCTGAAATCAACTCCTGCTTCCTTAAAGTGCTTTAAATGACAAAACATACCTGGGCATTTGTGACTAGCGACTCATGAGGCTGAGATCAGAGGACTGTGGCGCATAGCCAACTCAGGCAGGAAAGCCCATGAAACTCTTATCTTCAATTGACCACCAAAAAGCCAGAAGTGGAGTTGTGGCTCAAGTAGTAGAGTGCTAGCCTTGAGCAACTCAGTGCTCAGGCTGAGTTCAAGCCCCAAGATGGAGTACACATGCACACGAGCACGCATGCACACACACGCATGCGCGCGCGCGCACACACACACACACAGATAAAGCTTGAGGTTACCAGACTATAAATTTGAATAATAATTTACAATATTTATTTTTCATATACAAGTACAGGGATGTAAAATTTTATTATTGCCATCCATGAAACCAGCACGTAAAAGACTGAAAAAAAGGAAAGTAGTAGAACTATTGCAGTAAGTTACAGATTTTTTTTTTTTGTCGGTCGTGGGACTTGAACTCTGGGCCTGGGCACTGTCCCTCAGCTCTTCAGCTCAAGGCAAGCACTCTACCACTTGAGCTACAGCGCCACTTCCAGTTTTCTGGTGGTTTATTAGAGATAGGAGTCTCACGGTCTTTCCTGCCCGGGCTGGCTTTGAACCGAGATCCTCAGATCTCAGCCTCCTGAGTAGCTAGGATTACAGGCATGAGCCACCAGCGCCCGGCAAGTTACAGATTTTTATGCCAAAAAACACAACTGGATTACTCAAATTCAATGAGTTTTTTTCAGAGGTGGCTATAATAGGTAACAGAATTTTCTTTTTGGCTTTGGCACATCATTCACCTTACTTTGGATCTACCAGAAAGTAATGAACAACAAAAAAGTTGTAAAGTCTTTACATTTAGTGCTTTGGGGATGTTTTGATTGGCATATAATTTGTTCTTATATTTACTCCAAGGCTTTCCTGCTGTTAGTTTGGACCTAACTTGAGTGAACTATTTGAACTGATGAATTGGTTTTTTTTCTTCTATGATGCTGAAGACTGAACCTAGGGCCTCACGCATGCTAGGTAAGTGCTCTACCACTGAGTTACAACTTTACCCCTTGACAAAAATTTCTAGGTGGTAAGTCCAAATATTTTTCTTTTTGTTCTGTTAGTACAGTTTATGGTCTCATACTTGTTGGGCAAGTGCTACCACATGAACCAGCCTCAGCCCTAGAAAGAAACTTACAAATGGCCTCAGATTGCTTTTCTCAGACTAAACACTCTTTCATGTAACTACTTCACCATCTTTGGTATAGGCAGTTAACTTTCTCCAGTTTCTCTTTAGAATGGAAGTGAGAATGGACTTTCAAGTGTGGTACGGAAGGGAGCCAACTAAGAATTACATTTGCTTTTCCGTGATTGAAAATTAGGTTAACATTTTCATGTGTGGCCCATTTAAATCCCTGTGTATACTTCATCTGAATCGTGGGTAAACTATTTTGCTTTGACAAATTAGGAAAAGCTCATGAGAGCTCATGATTAAGCTGGAATACTTTTTAAAAACAGGGATATGGGGGCTGGGAAGGTGGCTCAGTGGTAGAGTGCTTGCCTCGCATGCATGAAATGCCCTGGGTTCGATTCCTCAGCACCACATAAGCAGAAAAAAGCCAGACGTGGCACTGTGGCTCAAGTGGTAGAGCACTAGCCTTGAGCTGAAGAGCTGAGGGACAGCGCCCAGAGTTCAGGCTCCATGACCAATAAAAAAACCAAAACCAAAAAAACCCACAAGGATATGTAAGTGATAGTAACTCAACCAAGCCTAGGTAAGCTGAAGTTCTCACTAAGCAGATAATGAGTTTTAGTCTGAAAAGATGCAGGATTTACCTCTTTAGTAAAATACTTGGTTTTCCAGGGTGTTCCTGTTTCAGTACGATGCCTCTCTTCAGTCCTCTGGCGTTCTTCCAGAGTACGTTTATGCTCGGTGGCCTTATCAATTTCAGAGTCCCTCAGTGAATCTGTCACATTTTTCCATAATCGTCTGAAATCCAAAATATGCATATTTTACAAACATTCTTTTTTTTTTTAAAAGATAACTACATAGAATTATATTCTCAAAATTAACAGTACTTTCTCCAGGGTGCCAGCGTCTCTTATCTGTAATCCTAGCTATTTGAGAGGCTAAGAATAGGAGGACCTTGGTTCAAGGCCACCCTGGGCAAATATCTGCAAAATTCCATTTCCATGGAGAGAACCTAGATGGGCTGGCACATGACTGTGATTAAGGCTTAAAGTAGATGAATTACAATCCATAAACCCTTTTTTTTTTTGGGTCCGGTCATGGGGCCTGAACTCTGGGCCTGGGTGCTGTCCCTCAGCTCTTCAGCTCAAGGCAAGCACTCTACCATTGAGCCACAGCGCCACTTCCGGATTTTTTTTTCCTTTTTGCTTATGTGGTGCTGAGGAATCGAACCCAGGGCATCAGGCATGCAAGGCAGGCACTGTACCACTGAGCCACCTTCCCAGCCCATGAACTTTCCTCCTCTGGCTTCAAAGAGAGATCCTCAGATCTCAGCCTCCTGAATAGCTAAGATTATAGTCTTGAACCACTGGCGCCAGGCTTCTGATTCTTTTTAAATAGAATTTAATTTGAACTTTTACAAGGTATAAAAAATTCATTTTCAGCAAACGAGAACAAAATAATCTGATACTTTTGTGTGTGTGTGTGTTGGGGGGGTGGTCGTGGGGCTTGAACTCTGGGCCTAAGCACTGTCCCTCAGCTCTTCAGTTCAAGGTGAGCGCTCTACCACTTGAGCTACAGCGCCACTTCCTAATCTGATACATTTTTTAAGCTAAAATATAAGACCACTTTACTTTTCTACCATGTTGAAATAATAAGGACAAACTTTTCCACCTTAGTTAGCTAGGGAACCAGAAAAAATATAATGAAACAATGGTTGTCAAATATTGACAAGTGGCACTGTGGCTCAAATGGTAGAGCACTAGCCTTGAGCTGAAGAGCTGAGGGACAGCGCTCAAGCCCAGAGTTGGGGCCCCACGACCGAACCCAAAAGAAAAAAAAAACAAACAAAAGAAAAAAAAACACCAAAATCCATAAAACTATTGATAATTTTACTTAACAAAAATAAAAAACTTTGGGCTGGGAAGGTGGCTCAGTGGTAGAGTGCTTGCCTTGCATGCATGAAGCCCTGGGTTCTATTCCTCAGCACCATAAGCAGAAAAAGCCAGAAATGGCTCGAGTGGTAGAGCACTAGCCTTGAGCTGAAGATCTGAGGGACAGTGCCCAGACCCAGAGTTCAGGCCCCATGACCGGCCAAAACAAACAAACAAAAAAAAAAAACAAAAAAACTTTTTCCGGTTGCCAGGGGCTCACACCTGTAATCCTAGCTACTCAGGGAGCTGAGATCTGAGGACCAAAGTTCAAAGCCAGCCTGGGCAGGAAAGTCCGGGAGACTCTTATCTCCTATAAACCACCAAAAAACTGAAAGTGGCATTGTGGCTCAAGTGGCAGAATGCTAGTGTTGAGCTGAAGAGCACAGGGACAGCACCCAGGTCCAGAGTTCAAGCCCCATGAAGGACAAAAAAACAAACTTTTATATGGAAAAATAAAAATAGTTCAAAATTAAGAATAGACCAGGAAGAAATTATTTGTACAACATATTCAATTTGTATCAACCAGGCTGTGAATCCTAACTACTTTGGAGGCTGAGATTTGAAGACTGGTTCAAATCTAACCTGGGCAGACAAATCTGAAAAACACTTTTTTTTTTTTTGCCAGTCGTGGGCCTGGGCCCTGGGCCTGAACTCGGGGCCTCAGCTCTTCAGCTCAAGGCTCTACCACTTGAGCCACAGTGCCACTTCCGGCTTTTTCTGCTTATGTGGTGCTAAGAAATCGAACTCAGGGCCTCACATATGCAAGGTAAGCACTCTACCACTGAGCCACCTTCCCAGCTAAAAAACTCTTTTCTGGTTTTTTTTTTTGTGTGTGTGCCATTCCTGGGGATTAAACTCAGGGCCTAGACAATGTCCCTGAGCTTTTTGCTCAAGACTGGCATTCTACCATTTAAGCCACAGCTAAACTTTCAGCTTTTCTTTTTTAGTAGTTTATTGGCACTAGTCTCATGGGCTTTCCTGACTTTGAACCCCAATCCCCAGATCTCAGCCTCCTGAGATTACAGGCATGAACCACTGACACTCAGCGCTGAGAAACTCATCTCCAATTAACCAGCAAAAAGCCAGAAGTGGAGGTGTGGTTCAAATGCTAGAGCACCAAACTTGAGCAAAAAAAAGCTCAAGCCAGGAGTAAAAGGTCCTGAGTTCAAGATTCATTACCATCACATACACACAAATATCTTTATCTAGAATTTACAAAGAATGCCTATCACCCCCAAATAATATGATCCTATTAAAAAATGGGAAAGATATAAACATGGAGTGTAGGTGGGGCTCAAGTAGCAGAGCATTTTGCCTAGTCAGGCTCAGAGTTCAATCCCAGTACAGTAACAAAAAGTATCACGCCAGGTCCTGGTGACTCATGCCTATAAAATCTTAGCTACTCAGGAGGCTGAGATCTGAGGATCATGTTCAAAACCAGCCCTGGAGGAAAGCAAGCAGATGGGGAGGATCCAGAATGCCATTACATAGGCAGTAGAAATGTAAAATGGTAGACTCATGTTGTTGTTATTGTTCTGTGCCCGTCCTGGGGCTTGAGCTTAAGGCCTGGGCACTGTCTCTGATGTTTTTTGCTCAAGGCTGTTGTCTCCCACTTGAGCCACAGCTCCACTTCTGGAGTTTTGGTGGATAATTGGAGTTAAAAGTCTCATGGAGTCTAGCAATGTGACTTAGTGGCAGAGTGCTTGCCTAGCATGCATGAAGCCCTGGGTTCAATTCTTGGTTCCACATAAACAAAAAAGGGTGTAAGTGGTACTGTGGCTCAAGTGGTAGAGTATAGAGTGCTAGCCTTGAGTGAAAAGAAGCTCAGGGACATCCCAGGTCCGGAGTTAAAGTCTCAGGAATAGCAAAAACAAAACAAAAAGTCTCATAGTCTTTTCTGCCTGGGCTGGCTTCAAACTGCAATCCTCAGATCTCAGCTTCCTAAGTAGCTAGCAATACAAGTGTGAGCCATTGGCGTCCAGCTGGTAATCATTTTGGCAAACTGTTTTGCCAAGTTAGTTTAGCAGTGTTCAAAAAGTTACACATAAAACTGACTTTCAGTGCAAAGATGTCTCCCAAGCCAGTCTCTCAGCTCATCCAGATCAGTTGCTATTTTGCCTTTACCTTCCACATGGTCTGGAGCCAAGCCCTACTTTACTTACACCTTTGGGCACAGTTGGAGAGAAGGGTAGTAACAGGGAAGAAGAGAGGCAGGACAAGCTGAAGTTGACTGAGAGGGTCAAAGCCATAGAAGAAGCATATTTTAGGGTACTAGTGAACCTGCCTTTCCCCAACCTCATTACATGAAAAAACTTTGGCTTATAAAAACAAATAACTACAGGGGCTGGGAAGGTGGCTCAGTGTAGAGTGCTTGCCTTGCATGCATGAGGCCCTGGGTTCAATTCCTCAGCACCACATAAGCAAAAAAAGCCGGAAGTGGGGTTGAGGCTCAAGTGGTAGAGCGCTAGCCTTCAGCTGGAGCTGAGGGACAGCGCCCAGGCCCAGAGTTCAGGCCCCACGATTGACAAACAATAAAAATAAAAAAAAAAATAAAATAGGGGCTGGGAAGTTGGCTCAGTGGTAGAGTGCTTGCCTTGCATGCCTGAGGCCCTGGGTTCGATTCCTCAGCACCACATAAGCAAAAAGAAAAACGCCAGAAGTGGCACTGTGGCTCAAGTAGTAGAGTGCTAGCCTTGAGCTGAAGAGCTGAGGGATAGCACTCAGGCCCAGAGTTCAGGCCCCACGACTGGATCCAAAAAAATAAAAAAATAAAAACAAGCTAATATACCCAATCAATTTCACTTCTATGACTGTATCCATAAAATGAAAATTTATGTCTATTTAAAGACTTATCACGTTAAGAAGCCAGATACATTGGGCTGGGAAGGTGGCTTAGTGGTAGAGTGCTTGCCTTGCATGCATGAGGCCCTGGGTTTGATTCCTCAGCACCACATAAACAAAAAAAGCCATAAGTGGCACCATGGCTTAAGTGGTAGAGCGCTAATCTTGAGCTGAAGAGCTGAGAGACAGTGCCCAGGCCCAGAGTTCAGGTCCCACGACGACCACCACCACCAACAAAAAGCCAGTATAATAGATCATATACTCGATGACTCCATTTATAGTAAATAGCCAGAAAAAATAAATTTATAGATAGAAAACAGGTGAGTGTAAGGTCTGCCTAGGGAAGATGGAGCAGACACTTCCCTCCTCTTGGCTAAGTCCCCACACAGAACCTGCTTCACCTAGTAACTGGTACACTTGGACTCAGTCACCTCCCCCTGATCCCTGAGGGCACATCCACACCTTCTCCCACCCCTGGCCTTGATAAGTTCTGGCCCAGCTGTGATTCAACCCCCCACACCCCAACCCCCATTGCCGTGGGCTTCTAACTTGACCAGAGGTAGCCTGCAGCTCAAAATAAACCTTTCCCCTGCCTGAATACCAGCTGCTGCTCTCTCTTTCCTAGGCTGCCAATTTAATTTACCTAACAATCAGTAGTTACGTAGGGCTAGAAATAGGGGTTAAGTGTAAATGGGCATGAAGAACTTATAGTTGGATGAAAAAATTTTATTTTTTTATTTTTTTTTGGGTCCGGTCGTGGGGCCTGAACTCTGGGCCTGGGCACTGTCCCTCAGCTCTTCAGCTCAAGGCTAGCACTCTACCACTTGAGCCACAGCGCCACTTCCGGCTTTTTTTCTTTTTGCTTATGTGGTGCTGAGGAATCGAACCCAGGGCCTCATGCATACAAGGCAAGTGCTCTACCACTGAGCCACCTTCCCAGCCCAAGATGAAAAAATTTTAAAGCTGAGCTGTGAGCATGGCTCAAGTGGCAGAAAACACCTGCCTAAAAAATAGACGCAAAGAAATGCCAAATAGATCAACAAATTCTAAAACTGATACATGGTAATAATTGTACAATTTATGAAGGTACTAAAAATATTTGAGTGGAGGCCAGTGATCCATGCCTATATTCTTAGCTACTCAGGAGGGTGAGACTAGAGGACTGCAGTTCAAAGGCAACCTGGGCAGCACAGTCTGTGAGCCTTGAGCAAAAAAGCTCAGGGATGCCGGGAGTCAGTGGCTCATGTCTGTAATTCTAGCTACTGAGGAGGCTAAGATATGAGGATCATGATTCAAAGCCAGCTCTGGCAGGAAAAGTCCGTGAGACTCTGATCTCCAATTAACCACCAAAAAACCAGAAGTGGCGCTGTGGCTCAAGTGGTAGAAAGCTCACCTTGAGCTGAAGAGCTCAGGGACAGTGCCCAGGCTCAGAGTTCAAGCCCCATGACCAAAAAACAAAAACAAACAAAAAAACACCTCAAGGACAGCATCCAGGCTTGAAATTTAAGCCCTGGTACCAAGACCAAAAAACTCCAATCAACCAACAAAAAAACCCTTTGTTCTCCAAGGAAGTAAATTAGATCAGATCAATCCTATCAAGTTATTACTGAAAGAGCTGTGCAAACAGGTGAGTTCACTGTTGAAGGTCATAAAGTCATGAAAAGGCTTAGGTCCTGGCTGTGCTGGATGGAGGCAAGCATGGCATACCTGGACTCAAATGGATCCTGTTTCTCCAGTGGTCTTACTCGCTTCTTTGTCACTGTCAATTTAGTCAGGTCCACATACTTTGTCTCTCCATTGCTGTAAATGAACTCCAGAACACTATTCCACTCCCCTTGCACCCTGCATACCACGGTGTTGGTAATGTTGTGCTTTACCTCAGCGGTCACCCTAGACATGGACAGAAAATAAAGACATGATCTAGTTACTGATATCTGGTTTACAACTCTAAAAACTAAGAATGCACTCTGCAAATCCAGCCAAAATTAATATGAGAGCTTACTTCAATTATGAGTGCCAAAAGTCACCATTTGTTGTAAATCCCATAACAGCATCCTGAATAATTTTTACATATTACCTTTACTTTTTAGAAAGAATACTAGGCACCAAATTAGACTTTATACCAAAAAGAAAAAGTGTGATCTTGGATGTTTTCTTTTTTATTACAATCTAAAAATGTTACAAGCCGGGCACTGGTGGCTCACGCCTGTAATCCTAGCTACACAGGAGGCTGAGATCTGAGGATCAAGGTTCAAAGCCAGCCGGGGCAAGGGAGACCTTGAGACTCCTATCTCCAATAAACCACCAGAAAACCGGAAGTGGCGCTGTAGCTCAAGTGGTAGAGCGCTCGCCTTGAGCTGAAGAGCTAAGGGACAGCGCCCAAGCCCAGAGTTCAAGCCCCACGACCGACCCCCAAAAAAATAAATAAATAAAAAATAAAATAAAAATGTTACAGCACTACAATCTAACATTTTTTTAGTCAGTTCTGTCTAAACATCTGGATTTCTGGATATATATAGAGAGAAAGAGAGAGAATATATATATACATATATATTCTCTATTAAACACAAAGAATCCTAATTTTAAGATAAATATAAAAGTTAGATAATTTAGTAAGTAGAAAAAATACAAAAGAGGGTTGGGAATGTGGCTTAGTGATAGAGTGCTTGTCTAGCATGCATTAAGCCCTGGTTTGATTCCTTAGTACCACAGAAGCAGAAAAAGCTTAAAGTGGTGCTATGGCTCAAGTGATAGAGTACTAACCTTTGAGCAAAAGCTCAGGGACAGTGCCCAGGCCCTGAGTTCAACCCCAAGACTGGGGGGAAAAATTATCATAAAACTCAGGCTTCAAACTTCAATGAAGTTTAATGGCTGTTGGCTGTTTATTAATAGACAGGTACACTAATGAAGCTCAAATAAAGGGTTGAAACAGGCTAAATTTGATAGTTTATATGTTTATTGCTGAAACTGGTGCTTAAATTCAGGTCTAGGCGCTGCTCCTTAACTTTTTCACTAAAGGCTAGTGCTCTACTACTTATGCTACAGCTCTATTTCCAACTCTTTTTTTTGTCAGTTGTGGGGCTGAACTCTGGGCCTGGACGCTGTCCCTTAGCATTTCAGCTCAAGGCTAGCCACTTCCGGCTTTTTTCTTTTTGCTTATGTGGTGCTGAGGAATCGAACCCAGGGCCTCAGGCATGCAAGGCAAGCGCTCTACCACTGAGCCACCTTCCCAGCCCCCTCCAACTTTTTTTATGGTTAATTGGAGTTAAGATTCTTACAACTGGGCATTGGTGGTTCACACCTGTAATTAATCCTAGCTACTCAGGAGGCTGAGATCTGAGGATCATGGTTCAAAGCCACCCGGGAAGGAAAGTTCCTGAGACTCTTATCTCCAAGAAACCACTCAGAAAACCAAAAGTGGCACTGTGGCTCAAGTGGTAGAGTGCTCAACTTGAGCTGAAGAGCTGAGGGATAACTCCCAGGCCCAGACTTCAAGCCCCAGGAATGACAAAAAAAAAGATTCTCACAAAATTTTCCTGCCCAGGCTGTGAACCGTGATCTGCAGATCTTGGCTTCCTGAGTAACTAGGATTACAGACATGTGGTATGGCATCCCACTTAATGAAACATGTTCACTGTAGGACACAGGTAACAACAAGGCCAGATTAAATAGAGGTTCAAGATTCAGGGAACACTGAGTCAAGATTAAGTACTAATTTGTGTGCCAGAGAGTATTATTTATTTTTATTTTAAAGGGAATTCAAAGAACCAAAAGCAAGCATACAGGAATCCTAAGCAATATTTGTCTTATATAAGACAAGAAAACAAGAAAGGCAGTAAAGTGCTCACTTCAGCACATATACACACAAAAGGAGGAGGAGGAGGAGGAGGAGGAGGAGGAGCAGAAGGAGGAGGGGGAGGAGGGGGGAGGAGGAGGAGGGAGGAAAGAAAGAGAAAAAAAAGAAAGAAAGACAGACAGTAAAATTTAGAGGCCCAGCTTTCTGGTTTTGGGGTTGTTTTTTTTTTTTTTTTTGGTCGGTGATGGGGCTTGAACTCTGGGCCTGGGCGCTATCACTCAGCTCTTCAAGGCGAGCACTCTACCACTTGAGCCACACACCACTTCCGGGCCCAGTTTTCTATAAGGAAAAAAAAAAAATCAGCAAACCCAGAACTAAAAGCAGAGGTAGTAAAGAGCCTATTAAACTATAAGTCAGATGTTAGAGATTAGGCAGACACAGGTTTGGAATCTAAGAGTAAATATCCAAAAGTTAAGAGCAAATGCTTGATTATGAAGGAGTGGGAACTCCCTGTTACACTTTGAAGCACATAAACCTGAATAATTAAATTGCTAAAGGATTTCTGCCAGACTGTATATTTCTCTTGAAAATCCATTTCTAATTACACAAGAGATGAAGGTATGGCATTTAATCTTTCTCTATCCACATATGCCCAGACTAGTCTCAAGTGATTCTCCCTAGCCATAGCCTCTCAAGCAGCTGACTCTACAGTTGAGCATGACTATGCTAGTTCACTTAATCTTTTTTTTTGTACACAGGGCTTGAACTCAGGGCCTGGGCACTGACCTTGAGCTCTTTTGCTTAAGCAAGCATTCTAACACTTTGAGCCACAGTGCCACTTCTGTTTTTCTCACAGATTTTTCTGTTCGGGCTGGCTTTGAACTGTGATCCTCAGATATCAGCCTCCTGATTACTTGCAGGTGTGAGCCAAGAGCATCTGGCTTCATTTGATCTTTCTTTCACTGCCATGGCATAGCCTTTTAAATTATTGTTATCTCCCATAAGCTTAAATACTCAACAAATAATTATCCTCTTTCCCAGTTTATAAATGTTAAACTTACATTGTTTAGAGAAGCAGTACAGCGAAAGAATACAAAGAAAACTGGGGCTCAATAGAGGTGAACAAATAGAGGTGAACCATGAGGATCTTGCAAAGGTACACAAAGAGAAAGGGTTTTGCCTCATTTTGTTTATAACAATTCTTCACAACAATTCAATGTGGCACAGACAAACTTCTATAAAGGACCAAAAAAAAAAAAAATTCTGTGGATTCTGAGGCCAGACTGTCTCTTTGTAGCTACTTAACTTTGTCACTGTGTCATGAAAGCAGCCAGAGATAACAAGTAAATGAATGGGCATAGCTAAGTTTCAAAAAAGTTTTATAAAAACAATTATCAGGCTAGATTTCACTGCAGGGGCATAGTCTGCTAACCTTGTGCCTCATCTGAAATGTACAGAGAATTTCCACACTGTAATTTCATCTAAATAATTTTCAATGCTAATAGGCTGTTCCATCTGGCTGACATATCTTTCCTTCCTAGATGTAATCCTCATCCTTCAAGACCCAACTCAACCATCACATTATTCTGGGAGCTATTTCTCATCCTCTAGCCTGATGTATGTGTTTCCATTATATACTCAGGACAGTGGTCACATGGTACTGGTACTGATGTAACGAGTTGCCCTCATGCAGACTCTTATCAGGCACAGAAGAGCTTTCAACTCTGTGTTCCCAGTTAGTACTTCCCAGAGTGCTTGGCAAATAAGAAGATGCATAATAAACTGAATTGATTAATAAGAAAATAAGCTTAAAAGAGCTTAAATGATATGCACAAATTATTGTTATCATCTAGAATAGGAGTGAGCAAAAACATCTACAAGAAAATGCCAGTATGGGGGGCTGGGAAGGTGGCTCAATGGTAAGAGTGCTTGCCTTGCATGCATGGGGCCCTGTGTTCGATTCCTCAGCACTCACAAGCAGAAAAAGCTGCTGTGGCTCAAGTGGTAGCTCAAGGCTGAGGGACAACGCCCAGGCCAGGAGTTCAGGCCCCACAACTGGCAAAAAAAGAAAGAAAGAAAGAGAGAGAGAGAGAGAGAGAGAGAGAGAGAAAATACCAGTATGTCTGGCATTTGATAAACTCTTACAATATGCTAACATTAGATAACATATTTTTCAAGACTTGTGACCATCCCATTTCTGTGGGTAAAGAAATTGTGGCACAAAAATTTAGGCAAACTGCCCTAAATCAAATAGCTTATAATTAGTCAGGATTTGAATATAGCTCCTGATGTACTCTTAAAGCTAAGTTCTTTCCAAAATTTCCTTTATTTTTGTTTTCTGTTTGTTTTGGCAGTATTGGGTTTGAACTTAGTGCCTCACTTTTGCTTAGAGACATGCCTCCAGCCTCTTCTACATACAAGTTTTCCTAAAACAATGAATCAGAGAACTACTTTATAAGACAAAGTGAGCTGGGTGCTGGTGGTTCACACCTGTAATCCTACCTACTAAGGAGGCTGAGATCTCAGGATTACAGTTCAAAGCCAGCCCAGGCAAGAAAGTCTTGGGGACTCTTATCTCCAATTAACCACCAAAACACTGGAAGTGGTACTGTGGCTCCAGAGGTAGAGCACTTTGCCTTGAGCTGAAGAACTGGACAGTACCCAGCACAGAGTTTAAGCCCCAAGGTAGGGGCGGCGTGGGTGGGTGGGGAGACAAAGAGAAATTAGGGAACTAACCCAAAGATAAAAGGTTAAGGCTCTGCTCAATGGCCAACTCATCTGTTTCAAACGAAACAGATTAAACAAAGAGTACACATGAATAAAAATCCCAGCCCATCTATTTAAAACAAGGTAGATAAAGAATAAGGAGTCATAGGCTGGGAATGTGGCTTAGTGGTAGAGTGCTTGCCAAGCATTCACGGAGCCCTGAGTTTGATTCCTCAATACCACAAAGAAAAAGCCAGAAGTGGTGCTGTGGCTCAAGTAGTAGAGTGCTAGCTTTGTGCAAATCGAAGGTCAGAGACAATGCCCAGGACCTGAGTTCAAGCCCAAGGACTGGCAAAAAAAAAAAAAAAAAAAGAGTTATAACTCAAGATTTAGAAAAGAGGGGCTGGGAAGGTGGCTCAGTGGTAGAGCGCTTGCCTTGCATGCTCGAGGCCCTGGGTTCGATTCCTCAGCACCACATAAGCAAAAAGAAAAAAGCCGGAAGTGGCGCTGTGGCTCAAGTGGTAGAGTGCTAGCCTTGAGCTGAAGAGCTGAGGGACAGCGCCCAGGCCCAGAGTTCAGGCCCCACGACAGGACCCAAAAAAAAAAAAAAAAAAGATTTAGAAAAGAGTAATGAAGGGCTGGGAAGGTGGCTCAGTGGTAGAGCGCTTGCCTTGCATGCTCGAGGCCCTGGGTTCGATTCCTCAGCACCACATAAGCAAAAAAAAAGAAAAAAGCCGCAAGTGGAGCTGTGACTCAAGTGGTAGAGCACTAGCCTTGAGCTGAAGAGCTGAGAGACAGCACCCAGGCCGAGTTCAGGCCCCATGACCGGACCCCCCCCTCCAAGAAAAAAAAGAAAGTAAAAGAGAAAAGAGTAATGATGTACTGCATATGATTAAAATGTTCTTACCGGTGCAGTTTGCCACCATAAAATGGCTTGGTATGGAAAGTGATGCTTGCTGAATACCCAGTCTTTGCACAGTTGACGCTGACTTTGCCACCTAGTTCCACCCAAGGAACAGTCAGAATTGACCGGGCGTATGCACAAGGTAGGGAGAATGTATACTCTTCTCCATGCTCCAACAGACTGAGGATACCTGAATGTAAAAATATGAGCGTAGCCAACATCATCTTAAAGAAATGGACAGTAGAAAAAGCCACGTATTTTCATGTCTAGTAGAACATTATTTTGTTTCACTGATCTTTGGATGATACTGACTACATTTACAATTACAGTTAATATTTCCTGGTGAGTCAGGGTTACTTTCACTGTGATATTACTGCCCCTTTGGGGTTCATGTGATCTGTGAATGCTACAGTGGAAATACTTTGAGTTCCCTCTCAGGGATGGGGAATGTCTAGCCTACCGGCCACACAATGCCCTAAAATCATTTGGTACATGGCAGGATAAACATCTATGCTTCTTGTTGGCTGCTGTTGGTCATTTTGTATGGTCCATGAATGTTATAAATACCCAAATGGTCCTTGGCAGAAAAAAATTCTCTACCCCTACACTTAATGCTTCTAAAACTAAATGCATAATACAGTGTCGAAGACTATCTATACTGCACCATGTTAAGATTTGGTCATTAGTACTAGTAATCTCTAGGAGTAACTAGATGACCAGTGTTATAAAAGGTATAGGACCTTAGCTCAGATAGTTTGATAGGAAAAGTATGTTTTTCATTTATAAAAAAAAATTGTCATTTTATCACAAAAACTACAGTAATAAGTTTTGTTAGTCAAATTCTGAAATATTTAGTTACAAGGGATGTAAGTATTGGTTTTTAAACACATAATATGGTAAAGAGATTTTGTGTTAAAGATGCTATATTAAAATGGCTTACAACACAAAAAAGAAACTGTGAATAAACAAGTGGTCTATATAAGAAAATTAAGGAACACTAAGCATATATAAGCCATATTATTAACTTCTAGGCTGTATCATCATCAGATACTGGATATGTACCTTTAGTCTAATACTGTGACACCTCTCCATTAACAAATGCTTACCACAAGCTCACTCTTCAAATGAGGGCAAGAGTTATGATAAATATTTAATTTTTAGGAAAACCAAACACAAAGAGATCTTAAAGCAGTGTTCACAAAGTTCTATCAACAATTCTTTTTGTATTGCCTTTACTAGTCTTCCTGAAGAATAATGTTCATTCAGAAATAAGGGCATTTCTCAGTGGTAGAGAACTTATCTACACCATCCCAAATACCACCAAAAATGAATGAATAAAAACTAAAAATGAAGGTCTGGGAAGGTGTCTCATTGGTAGAATGCTTGCCTTGCATGCATGAGGCCCTGGGTTCCATTCCTCAGCATCACATAAGCAGAAAAAGCTAGAAGTGGAGCTGTGGCTCAAGAGGTAGAGCGCTAGCCTTCAGCTAAGGAGCTGAGGGACAGCAAGCGCCCAGGCCCAGAGTTCAGGCCCCACAACTGACAAAAATAAATAAGCAAACAAACAAAAGATTAAATCATTTCCTAAGAAATATGTTTCCAGCTATAATCTATATAATGGAAGACAGATAACATACTTGAGTATATCTGAATTATTAATAAAAGTTTGAAAAAAACACTATTTTTAATTTTGTAAAAAACGAATTTGTTTATAAATTGGGTGTATGTTTTTTTTTTTTTTTTCTGGTACTGTGGATTGAACTAAAAGGTCTCACTAAGTTTGAGGCTGACACTCTACCTCTTGAACCACATATCCAGCCTAGCTTGTGGGTGGTTAATTGAAAATGTGAGTCTGGTGGACTTTTCTGCACAAGACTGGCTTTGAACCTAGGTCCTTTAGCTATCAGCTTCCTAGGGAGCTAGCATTACAGGTGTAGTGATTTTCTTTTCTTTTCGTCAGTTGTGGGTCTTGAACTCAGGGCCTGTCACTGTTCCTCGGGTCTTCAGCTCAAGGCTAGTGCTCTACCATTTGAGCCATAGCACCACTTCCAGTTTTCTGGTGGTTAATTGGAGATAGGAGTCTCATGGATGTTCCTGCCCAGGCTGGCTTTGAACCACGATTCTCAGATCTCCTTAGTAGCTAGGATTATCGGCGTGAGCCGCTGGCTCCCGGCTTGATTTTCTATTTTTAAGAATGTATTTTGCATAACGCAGCCACCATTGTGGAACTTAAAATCTGAAGAAATATATAGCCAGTTTTGAAGAAATGTGATGACAGACACATAGGATAAGATTCATAGAATTGTAAAATCTCAGGGTGGGAATGTGGTTCAGTGATGGGCTTTTGCTGAGTATTCATGAAGCTTTTGGTTCAATCCTCAGGTTAAAAAAAAAAAAGCCAAGTACAGTGGCTCCAACTAGTACTAATCCTCTCCAAGAACTGTTTGGGACATGGAAATTAGGGGACTGTAACTTGAGGCTGGCTAGGATTGAAAAAAAAAAAAAAAGTTTGTGAGATTCCATCTTGGTGCAGTAGTACACACCAGTTACCCCAGCTATAAGAAAAACACAGTGGACACAGTGGTGCATACCTGTCATTCCAGAGACCTGGAGAAACACAAATAAGAGAATCAAAATCCAGGCTTCCCAGAGCATGAGGTGAGACACTTTCTGAGTCAGCAATGTAAAAAGGGGTAGCTTAGCAAGTGGCTCGTGTTAGAGCACCTGCCCAGCAAATGTGAGGCCTGGAGTTCAAATCCAAGTACCATTAAAAAAAAAAAAACAGGTGGGGAAGGTGGCTCAGTGGTAGAGCACCTGCCTTGCATGCCTGAGGCCCTGGGTTCGATTCCTCAGCACCACATAAGCAAAATGAAAAAAGCCAGAAGTGGTGCTGTGGCTCAAGTGGTAGAGCACTAGCCTTGAGCTAAAGAGCTGAGGGACAGCGCCCAGGCCTATAGTTCAGCCCCCATGACCGACAAAAAAAAAAAAAGAAGAAATTAACTTTTTTATATTCCTTCATGAAGATACTGTTGTTTTTTTCTTAAGGTATTTTCTTTCGTGAAATAATGCATGTATTATATGAACTCTGTATTATATGAACTGAAAAGAAGAACTGTTTTGAGGAGAGCATGTCAAAAAATGAGGTTCTAAACCTGGTTGTACCTCAACATTTATGTTCTGGGCACTGTCTCTGAGCTTCCAACTTCAATCCTCAGTTTTCAGCCTCCTGAGGAACTAGAATTATAGGCATGAGCCATCAGCACCCAGCAGTAATATATTTCATAGATACAGTCATTAAATACTTGCTTTATAAATGATATAGAAAAAGGAATATATTTGTAAAGAAAAGCAGAACACTACTATTAGTCATCCTAATTTTCTGAAACTAAAAGTATGAATAAATCTACCAAGTAAAAAATATAACATTCTAGCTCAAACTATCCATCTGTAGATTAAAGAATCAGAGATGCTTTTATTTCTTCTTTTTAAATTTTTTTTTCCAATTTTAACAATAAAAATATATTCTTTAGCCCAGTTATAGTCTCCCTGCTTTCCAACAAGTGTTCTAGAATACAATAGAAATCGGAACGAAGAAATCGGTACAAAATATTCTAAATATTTTGAAATGAACAAATATATTGCTTCCAAAAATTTGACTGTAGTTTAATATTAAAAATTGAAGAACAATATTTCTTCTTACCTTCTCCAACCATTGTCACACCTATTGACATGCCTAAGAATTTGCTTTTAGTCCAGACATGGGCATTTACACACATCTTCCTTTCTGCACATTCTGCATAAAATCCTGAGACTGGAGGATGATGGGAAACCTGCTCGGCAACAAATCTGACTGTGTAATAGTCTGATCCCACCTGTCCCAAAGGTTCTTCTGACAGAGGAGCATGATTTGTGACTGCCTGGGTGGAAGAACTGCTAGCAATACTGGATGCTACCTCGCTTTTCGGCATCCTCCAAGAACAGTGAAATGTTTCTCCAATGATAGGATTGTATGGTTTCTTAGCAATGGCACCTTTCCGGCCTTCATGAAATGAGGTAAGATAGTACTCAACAAAACGAATCATTCTGTCTTCTGCTGTGGCTCCATTAGTGATGGCTATAAATAGGTCTGGATGAGACATAAAATCTGCATACATTTCCAGCAAGGATCGTTTCTCTAGGATAAATGTAGGAAGCACCACCTAAACAACAAGAAAAATGAACCAAAGACAAAAATTTCTTATCACATTAAAAGCATTCATTCTAGATGGACATTAAAGATAATGATACAGGGCTGGGAATGTGGCTTAGTGGTACAGTGCTTGCCTAGCATGCACCCTCAGTACCACATAAACAGAAAAAAACAGAAATGCCACTGTGGCTCAAGTGGTACAGCGCTAGCCTTGAGCAAAAGAAGCACAGGGACAGTGTCCAGGCCCTAAGTTCAAGCCCTGGGACTGGCAAAAAAAAAAAATGACATTTGGTCTTTTAAAGTATTTGGTCTTACTAAAAAAAGAAGCATGCTGCTGAGTGCCTGTGACTCATACCTATATAGGAGGCTGAGATCTGAGGGTTGTGGTTCAATTCAAAGCTAACCCAGGCAGGAAAATCTGTGAGACTCTCTCCAATGAAACCACCAAAAAAACTGGAAGTGAAACTGTAGATCAAGTTGTAGAGTTAGGCTTGAGAAAAAAAAAAAAAACCCTCAGGGACCATATCCAAGCCCTGAGTTCAAGCCCCAGGACTGTCACAAAAAGAACAACTTATTACTATGTCAGTATGTGTACTGTTTAGGAAAGAATGAAAGAAGTCTGAACATACTCACTCTGAGTGTGTGTGTGTGTGTGTGTATGTGTATGTATGTGTGTGTATTTTTTTTTTAACTTTCTATATTTTTTATTGTGAAAATACTGTACAGAGGGGTTACAATTACATGGGCAAGATAATGAGTACATTTCTCAAGCAGTGTAGCCTCCTCCTTTTGTTTCCCCTTCCCAGCCTCTCCCCCACCCAATCCTCCCCCCCACTTCTTTTTTTTTTTTCAGTCAGTCGTGGGGCCTGAACCGTGGGCCTGGGCACTGTCCTTCAGCTCTTTAGCTCAAGGCTAGCACTCTACCACTTGAGCCATGGTGCCACTTCTGGCTTTTTCTGCTTACGTGGTGCTAAGGAATCAAACCCAGGGCCTCATGCATGCAAGGCAAGCACTCTACCACTAAGCCACCTTCCCAGCCCCTCTTTTTCTCTTTTGAGACAGGTTGTTACTATGTATTCCCAAAGCTGGCCTCTAATTTCCAACATACGTGAAAAACATGCTTAAAAGGAAATGAAGCCAGGCGCCAGTGGCTCACAACTGTAATCCTAGCTCCTCAGGAGGCTGAGATCCTGAGGATCATGGTTCAAAGCCAGACTGGGCAGGAAAGTCCGTGAGACTCTGATCTCCAATAAACCACTAGAAAATCGGAAGTGGCACTGTGGTTCAAGCAGTAGAGGGCTCGCCTTGAGCTGAAGAGCACAGGGACAGCGCCCAAGCCCAGAGTTCAAGCCCCAGAACCGAGAAAAAAACAAACAAAAAAAGGAAATGAGAGCTTGCCAAAATGGCTACAATTAAACACAAATTCTGGATTTCAAGAAAAGGCTATAAAATGTTATCTTGATTTCTACTTGACTGGTTTGGTAGATGCCTCCTCAGGATATATCTGTGTGAGTACTTTCAGATATTATTAGATCATAAGGGTTTAGAGTTAATAGTTTAATCTAGTGATGGATTAAAAATGTGAATACAATACAATGCTTTAAGGGTGGAAGGTGGGGCCTGCTTGGAGAAAGTAGGTTTCTGGGGCCATGCCTTTGAAGGGTATACCTTGCCTTGACCTCTTCCTGTCTGTGTCCTCTTTGATTCCTAGTTTCCATGAAATAAGTGAGCACCTTTCCTCCACTATGCTCCTTCTTCCATGCTTTGCTTTGCCATAGGCCTAAAAGCAATGGGGCCAAGCTAGGCACCAATGGCTTAATGCCTAAGATCTGAGGATCATAGTTCAAAGCTAACTCGGGCAAGAAAGTCAGTAAGAATCCATTTCAGTGGCTCAAATGGCAGATCACTAGCCTTGAGCACAAAAGCTTTTCTTTAGATTTTCCATTGTAATATAGCAATGGATCCCTTTTACAGAAAAGAAACAAACAAACGAAAAAAAACCTACAAGTGCTTTTTGCCATGAGGCATTCTGCATATAAAAAAATAAAAACCAGAAGTGGCACTGTGGCTCAAGTGATAGAGTACTAGCCATGAGCTGAAGAGCTCAGGGACAGTGCCCAAGCATGACCGACACACACACACACACACACACACACACACACACACACACACACACACTCTCTCTCTCTCTCTCTCTCTCTCTCTCTCTCTCTCTCTCTCAAAATTAGCCTTATTTGTTTGAGCCAAGTAGCTGTGTATCCTATACTGGCACTGAACTCACTATACAGTTTGAGGCTGGCCTCAAACTCAAGATCTTTCTGCCTAGCATCTAGGAGCCAATGAGGAGGATGGGAAGGCAAACCATAAAGAATGAAAAGTCCTGACAACATTAACAATTTCAGGGGCTGGGAGTATGACTCAAGTGGTTAAAAAACCAAACCAAACATTCAAGTACTGTCCTGCCCTGACATTCTCCATGCTCAGTTTGTCCTCCTACTTACTCTGGTTAAATCCATGCCCAGCTTGAGCTGGGACAGAAGATGAAGAATAACACTGCGCTGCTCTTCCACAGCTCCCAAGTCATCCTCCTTGTTCTCACAGGTGTCCTCGATCTCATCATCAGTGTTGATTTCTTCTGGTTCCTAGGAAAAAAACAAAGTAGAAGTCTAGAGTGATGAGTACTGATTACTATCAATGAAGAATAAGAGATTCAAATCAGAGATGCTAACATTGGACCTAAACAAATCAGAAGAAGGGTGAAAATTTTTCTGAATATATAATTTTCATCATTTGGCTATGGGATAAGTAGCTTTCAAAAGGCCTATTATTAATGCTATTGAACACTTAATGGTTTTGCAATATGCATTGCATATAAAATGTGTTTTATATAAACAGGAAATTCCAAAAAGAGCAAAAACTGTCTCATTCTAATCTCAGGCTTGATCACCTGTCTGGGGATACCATCAATATCTATAACTGACATTGAAGAGTTCATACTCACACACATACACACATACAATTTATCCTTTAACTGTCCTTGCATTGTATAATATGTGCAAGGACAGGTTTCTGACCACATTTTTGCTTTTAACTTCTCCTTTTTTCTACCTCCTTTCTATCAAGAAAATCTATAAAAACTCACATTCTAATAAAAAAAATCTTAGTTAAAAAGAAAACCTCACAGTTGGGCACTGGTAGTTTACGCCTATAATCCTAGCTACTCCGGAAGCTGAGATCTTAAGATCATGGTTCAAAGCCAGCCTGGGCAGGAAAGTCTGTGAAACTCTTATCTCCAATTAACCACAAGAAAACCAGAAGTGGCACTGTGGCTCACGTGGTATAATGCTATATAGTACTAGCCTTGAGCTGAAGAGCTTAGGGATAGCACCCAGGCCTAGAGTTCAAGCCCCATAACGGACAAAAAATAAAAGCTTCACATTCTGAAAACCTCATTAATGGTTTAGTTAAGATAATACAGCAACCACTATTTGTGTATGTCAGAATTATTTCTATTTTTATGGTCTTAAGGACAGATCCCAAAGGCTTTCTCAAGCCTCATTTTTCAATAAAAGTAAGTTTGCCAGGAAATGTTCCTTGATATGTAGTCTAAATAATATCGTTTAAGTAAACTTAAACTGTTACTCAGTATAAAACAAGAGAAAGCTGACAGTCTCCCTCTCGACATCAAATGTAATCATTTTATGAGATACTTTTATGAGATCTCAGGGGGAAAAACTTTCTAGTACTTGATTAAATAATGTTCTCCAAAGATCTGGTAACGTACCATTAAATCTGAGATGAAACACAGGTAAATGGCAAATAGCTTAGTGATAAAGCTGATATTTAGCATGTCTAAGGCACTGAGACATGTTCAATACTAGCATTAAGAAACAATAAAAGAAGCCTGGCACCAGTGGCTGACACCTGTAATCCTAGCTACTCAGTAGACTGAGATCTGAGGATCACAGTTCAAATCCAGCCCAGGCAGGAAAAGTCCATGAGACTCTTATCTCCAATAAAGCACTAGAAAACTGGAAGTGGCACTGTGGCTCAAGCAGTAAGCGCTCGCCTTGAGCTGAAGAGTTGTGGGATAGCACCCAAGCCATGAGTTCAAGCCCCATGACCAACAAAAAAAGAAAACAACAACAACAGCTAGGCACTAGTGGCTCAGGCCTGTAATTCTAGCTACTCAGGAGGCTGAGATCTGAGGATTGAGGTTCAAAGCCAGCCCAGGCAGGAAAGTTTGTGAAACTTTTTTTTTTTTTTTTTGGGTCCAGTCGTGGGGCCTGAACTCTGGGCCTGGGCGCTGTCCCTCAGCTCTTCAGCTCAAGGCTAACTCTCTACCACTTGAGCCACAGCGCCACTTCCGGCTTTTTTCATTTTGCTTATGTGGTGCTGAGAAATTGAACCCAGGGCCTCAGGCATGCAAGGCAAGCGCTCTACCACTGAGCCACCTTCCCAGCCCCAGTTTGTGAAACTCTTATCTCCAGTAAACTACCAGAAAACTGGAAGTGGCGTTGTAGCTCAGGGGCAGAGTGCTAACCTTGAGCTGAAAACCTGAGAGACAGCACCCAAGAGTTCAAACCCCATGACCCACAAAAAAAAAAAAGAAAGAAAGAAAGAAACAACAACAAAGCCTGGCACTGGTGGCTCACTCCTATAATCCTATCTACTCAGGAGGCTGAGATCTGAGGATCATGGTTCAAAGACAGCCTGGGCAAGAAACTCCGTGAGATGCTTTTTTTTTTTTTTTTTTTGGCAGTTGTGGGGCTTGAACTCTGGGCCTGGGCGCTGTCCCTCACCTCTTCAGCTCAAGGCGAGCGCTCTACCACTTGAGCTACAGCACCACTTCCGGTTTTGTAGTGGTTTATTGGAGATAGGAGTCTCACAGTCTCTCCTGCCAGGGCTGGCTTTGAACCTCGGTCCTCAGATCTCAGCCTCCTGAGTAGCTAGGATTACAGGCGTGAGCCACCGGCGCCTGGGGCTTCTGTGAGACTCTTATCATCTCCAATAAATCACTCAGAAAACTGGAGGAAGAGGCACTGTGGCTCAAAGGTAGCATGCTAGCTTTGAGCTGAAGAGCTGAGGGACAGTGCTCACGCCCAGAATTCAAGTGCCACGACCGACAAAAAAACAAAAAACAAAAACACTTCCTCCACTAAAAACAGTAAAGAAATAAAGCATTTTTGTTTCAATATAAAAATAGCCAGTTAGTTTTCTGTTGTTGTTTTTTGTCTTTTTAGAAGGGCATAAGAGGAGGACACAGAAATAGAGAGAGGGCTAACAAATGTAGTCATGGTATTCCATATACACTATGTAAAAAATAAACTATGTAACTGGAAGGCAGGGACAGGAGGGGGAAACTGGGGAAAAGTGAAGGAAGGGTGACACTGTCCAAGAAGAACTGTACTCTTCACTGATTTATGGAATTGTAACTCTTCTGTCCAACACCCTAATGATAATAAAATTACATTTATTAAAAAAAAAAGTCAATCATCTGTAATGCTAGTAGCTACTCAGGAGGCTGATATCAGAGGATCACAGTTCAAAGCCAGCCAGAACAGGAAAGTTCCTGAGACTCTTATCTCCAATTAACCACCAGAAAACCAGAAGTGGTATTGTGGCGCAAGTGGTAGAGCACTAGTCTTGAGCTGAAGAGCTCAGAGACAAGACCCAAGCCCAGAGTTCAAGCCCATGATGACAAAAAAAAAAAAAAGTTCAATATTATACTACAGGTCTCCAGTCTGCATTAAACTTACATTCCAAGCCAGGCGCTGGTGGTTCACACCTGTAATCATAACTGCTCAGGAGACTGAGATCTGAGGATCACGGTTCAAAGCCAGCCCAGGCAGGAAAGTCAGTGATTCTTTATCTCCAATAAACCACCAGAAACCTGGAAGTCATGCTGTGGCTCAAGTGGCAGAACACTAGCCTTGAGCTGAAGAGCTAAGAGACAGTACCCAGGCCCAGAGTTGAAGCCCCACAACTGACCAAAAAACAAAACAAAACAAAACAAAGCTTACATTCCAGAGAAGGCATCTGTAAGCCTTCTGAATAATAAAGCTTATTCCTATGAGCTTAAATAAGGTCTAATGGCTTTTGAAATTTAAATAAAACAAAACCCAATTATGTACTCATATGTTTTCCATTTATATGAGGTGAGGTACTCAGTGCACTCACCATTTTGCAAGAGCTCTGTGGCCCATCTCAAACATGAGCCTTTATCTATGTTCTCATTTAGAATAATGTTTATTCTGGACTCTCAGACTTCCAGTTGTTTTTACTTATAAATTTTATCTCTAGACCTGATCTCTCACCAAAACTTCAGTTCCACTATCTAAATTGCTTTTCAGAAACTTTTATGATCACATTTTCTCTCCTGTAAATTCAACATATTGGTAATCATAATATTCCTTCTCTCATACAAGGCTCTTTCTTCCCAATTCTCCCAGCTTTGTAAATGGCAACACAATTCTATCGTTACTTAGGCTCAAAAACTTTAAGTTCAGCTGAGTATAGTGGCTCACTATTATAATTCCAGCTACTTGGGAGGTAGAGGTCAGGAGGATGATTGTTTAGGGCTAGTTCAGGCAAAAAGATAATGAGATCCCATCTCAACCATGGTGATGAATGCCTATGATCCCAAATACACAGGAAGCTATAAAGCTATAGGGAGGAGGACCAAGCAAAAGGACTCTACCTGAAAAATAAAATGTGCAAGTGGCTTACGTCTGTAATCCTAGCTACTCAGGAGGCTGAGATCTGAGGATCACGGTTCAGAGCCAGCCTGGGCAGGAAAGTCTGTGAGACTCTGATCTCCAATAAGCCACCAGAAAACTGGAAGTGGTGCTGTTGCTCAAGTGGTAGAGTCTCGCCTTGTACTGAAAAGCTGAGGGACAGCGTTGAGACCCAGAGTTCAAGCCCCATGACTCACAAAAATAAAAAACAATAAAATAAATACAATGTGATCAGAATATGGCTAGTAATTGAGTGCCTGCCTACTAAGCTTGGAGGCCTAAAGTTCAAACCTCATGTCCTCCCCTCCTACTCCTGGAAACTAAAACAAAACTCCAAGTCATTTTCAATACAACCTTACATTCACAGAGTCCACTGATTTTTTTTTTGGTCGGTCGTGGGGCTTGAACTCTGGGCCTGGGCACTGTCCCTCAGCTCTTCAGCTCAAGGCGAGCGCTCCACCACTTGAGCTACAATGCCACTTCCGGTTTTCTGGTGGTTTACTGAAGATAGGAGTCTCACGGTCTCTCCTGCCCGGGATGGCTTTGAACCTCGATCCTCAGATCTCAGCCTCCTGAGTGGCATGTGCCACCAGCGTCCAGTCATCCAATGATTTTTTTTTCATTTGAAATATACCCTGTCTACTGTCTTTATTTTTGCTAAATAATCTTTGATCATACCTTTACTTTCAAGTCATGCTACAAAGCAATAAACATTTCATGCCCTTCTCTACACTTATGAGCCTACTGTCATTAATTTGTCTCCTTGGCTTATGTTTTTTTGGGAGCAGTTTACACTGTAGTCCATGGAGCAGTGTTTAGGGAGTACTATTCCACATAAAGTGCAACATGAACATCATGTTCAACAACAATGTGATCTTTCTCATAAGTTAGATGCTATGTCTTATCATAATTTCATAAGGTGTTGTCACTGCTTTACAGATGAGGAAATCAAAACTAAGAGTGTTAATTAAGTGGACCATTTGTTAGCAAATGGCACATCCTGAGTTCAAACCATTAATCAACAGTTATATGTGCTGTGGTATTCCTGTCTTTGTTATTTCTCCATTTTGTAAATCCTCTCCTATCAATGCCCAATTCTAGTTCCACTTTGTCTCTAAAGCATTTCTCATCCACTCCACAGTCTCCCTTCTTTCTCTGACTCCTAAGAGTCTCAACTAAGGAAAAAAATATTGCTTTGTATGATCATGACATTTCAGTGCTTCCAGGAGTATGTGTTATTACTCCAAGCCGTTAATGTTAAGTCTTTGTAATGAAAGAATATTTTCTTCTTCTTAGTTCTTAATGCTGGACTTGTCTTAACTAGATAGCTTAATAAATATTTGCTAATTGCTTGGCTCCATAATTAATCTAGTCAAAAAACTACAGACAAAAAAGTATCTCATATACATCACACATTACTTTTTTCCCCCCTGTCCTTTCCTACTTTCCTGCCTCCTGTCCCCATTGCCCACCTAGGTAAGTCAACACCTTTGCCAGCTTTGAAAATATCTGTATCATATATATATATATATATATATAAAAATATATAACTATAAATATAGAAATATATATATATAATATATATATATTTTTTTTTTTTGTCGGTCATGGGGCCTGAACTCTGGGCTTGGGTGCTGTCCCTGTGCTCTTCAGCTCAAGGTGAGTGCTCTACCTTTTGAGCCACAGCACCACTTCTGGTTTTCTAGTGGTTTATTGGAGATCAGAGTCTCACAGACTTTCCTGACCGGGCTGGTTTGAACCGTGATCCTCAGATCTCAGGCTCCTGAGTAGCTAGGATTACAGGCGTGAGCCACTGGCATCCGGCTCCTATATCATATCTTTTAAGACGTAATTTACTAACATATAAATAACCACAAACTGTGTATTGCTCTTGACTTAGTATTTCTACTTGGGATACAAACTGAAGAAACAATCCAAAGAAAGAGGAGAGAAAAAGCAGCAAATAAGATAATACAGTTCTATTTATAATAACAAAGAAGAATAAACAAAGCAGATATTCAATAATAGGGATACCAACTCAATAACCTGCTTCAAATTTTAAAATTTTAATTACATAGGCCAGAACATGCTTATCAAACTATCAAGAGCTTAAAACAAAATTACCCATGTAATTATTGGGGCCATAAAAATGGTAGACGTGAACACAAAAAGGCAAAAAAAACACAAAAAACCCACATGATTTATAATAGTGGTAGATCTATGAACAGAATAAAATACTTTTTATCCTCTAAGAAATGTTGAATGAGTAATACTTTATAAAAATATTAAGCCCTGAGATCATATGCTATTTTAAATAGTTAAGATCTGAAACACTGGCATGGCACAACATGTGCTATCAAAAAGCTCCCCCTAATAGTGTAATTTTCAGCTTACATACCCACTAATAACATCTAGTAGGGAATGTGAAATTAAAATAATAGCAAGATGGTTGTGGTGGCACACACTTATAACCTCAGCACTTGAGGTAAGAGAGAAGGATCCTGGGTTCAAGGTGAGCCTGGACTGCATAGTAGTATCATCTCAAAACTTCAAAAAAAAAAATTGGGAGGTAAGAAAAAAATATTTTGCTAGCCAGCTGGTGGCTCATGCCTGTAATCATAGCTACTCAGGAGGTTGAGATCTGAGGATTGAGGTTCAAAGCCAGCCCCGACAGGAAAGTCCCACAGGAATGAGACTCTTACCTCTAATTCCCACTCAAAAACCAGAAGTGGCACTGTGGCTCAAAGTGATAGAGCACTAGCCTTGAGCAAAAGAGCTCAGGGATAGACCCTAAGTCCTGAGTTCAAGCCTTACAACTGACAAATAAATAAATAAATATGTCTCAAATAATTCTATAATTCTAACAGATATTAAGTTATTTTCCAGAAAAAAATACATTTCAATTTTTTAAAATACATTCATGACAAGTAAACCAAAGCTAAAAAGGGTACAGGACTTAACCTAGGAAATAAATGTTGAGTTTAATACAAGATAGCTTTTCAAAGCAAATGAAGTTCAAAGTAGAGCAATAATGCTCATAATCTACAACGGTTGCTTCAGTGTTATATAACACATCCTAACAATGAAAAAATTGACCCTTTTCACTGATTTATAATTTCTTACATCAAAAGCATATTTTCTTATTACCTTACCCTTGCTAATAGTCCAGATTCTGCAACAGACTGCTCTTCTGGGACTGCCACAGGCTTACTCTGCTCAGTTGTGAAGGGCTGCTCAGCCTCATTTTTATAGTGGTTTGATAAAGGTATCTTTGGTTCTAACCACTCGATTGTCGTTCCTGATGAAGTAAGAGAAAACTTGCGCTGAAACTTGCTCATAATCTGGAAAGTTCAGCAGATGCAGATTTTATTAAACAATTTTGTTTTGAGCCTACAAGACTAAAAGCAATTCAACCTGTACCTGAAAGACAGCCACTGAACCTCATTAGCATAAGCTCCATGATTGGGTATTTTACAGCAGAGCAACTGGCAACTTGAAATGAGACACTAAGAGAAATCAACTCTGAATAGGTCTGAACTCACTTCTTGGGCAATGTTTGAATCATGAAGTATGTTACCAATCAGTTGATTTGCTGTGCTCTCTGAATAAACTATGCCTTCTAGTAACCAACAGGTATGCATTAGGCTTTAAAGGTCATAACTACAAAAGGGGTCTCAGTCTGTGAGGCTATAATTTGTGCCAAATTGGGATTATAATTCTATAAACAATCAAAACAACTCCTTGGATCTAATTTTAAAATTGTTCTTAATGTCTTTTCGTAACTTTAAACATAAAAATGCCACCTAACTTTTTAAACTGAAAAATTCTTCTACTGAATAAATAATAGCTGACCTAGTGAAAGACAGTGGTCACATGTAGCGACCTGTCATCTTCTCAGTTAATGACTCAAAGGTCTCTTGTTACCTCAACTAGTTTAACAAAGTGGATTCTATGCCTAATCAATAATGGAAAATGTTCCGTTTGATTTCAGAGGCTGATCTAGGTTTCAGAGAAGCTAGGTTATTCAGTGCTAGTATAAGAGATGCTCAGCTGTGACAGGGAGAAATTTATAATAAACAGGAATTTACTCAGTCTATAACAATCTCTAGATTTCAGTAGAAGACTCAATTACAAAGTCCCCACCATGGGACTGGGAAGGTGGCTCAGTGGTAGAGTGCTTGCCTTGAATGCATGAGGCCCTGGGTTCAATTCCTTAGCACCACATAAGCAGAAAAAGCTGGAAGTGGGGTAGAGCACTAGCCTTGAGCTGAAGAGCTGAGGGACAGCGCCCAGGCCTAGAGTTCAGGCACCATGACTGGCAAACAAAAAACAAAAAACACCAAAGTCCCCACCAGGCTACCAAACCACCTTGCTTTACTCTTTATACTTTGCTCCTCCTGGCACTTAGGGAGATACAAGATTAGAGGAATGCCCTGGATAAGTTCCTAAGGGACTGTTTATAAATTCTAAAGAAAACACACTACTTCTACCCTAAAATATTTTTTCTTTTTTTTTTTAATTTGGTCAGTCGTGGGGCTTCAACTCAGCCTGAGCACTGTCCCTCAGCTCTTCAGTTACAGGCAAGTGCTAACTACTTGAGCCACAGCACCACTTCCAGTTTTTTGGTGGTTAACTGGAGAGAAGAGTCTCATGGACTTTCCTGCCCAGGCTGGTTTTGAACCGTGATCCTCAGATCTCAAGCCTCCTGAGTAACTAGGATTACAGGCATAAGCCACCAGTGCCCAAGTAAATTTATGTATTTGTTTCTCTTTCCTCCCCAGAATCATTTATTTATCCAGATTTCTTTACTTCTAAAAATAAAATACATATGGACACTAATTAAAAGACTCATTTTTGTTGGGCGTTAAGGTGCAGGCCCAGACACTGAGAAGGCTGAGGATCAAGATTCTGAGGCCAGCTCAGGCAAAGGTATCAATATCCTATCTCTAAAGCAAAATACAAAAAAAAAAAAAAAGGCTGGGCACTAATGGCTCATGCCTGTAATCCTAACTACTCAGTATGCTGAGATCTGAGAATCACGGTTGAAGCCAGTCTTGGCAGGAAAATCGGTGAGACTTATCTCTAATTAACTATCAATAAAGCCAAAAAAGCTGTGGCTAACACAAAAGCTTAGTACAAAAGGAGAGTACCCAGACTCTGAGTTCAAGCACCAGGGCTATCAGGGAGAAAAAAAAAAAAAGGACTGAGAGTGTAGCTCAGATGGCAGAGGCTGGCCTATTGAATACCAAGCCCTGGGTTTAATTATTAGTATGGGGGTGATGGGGTGATCCATTTTTGCAAATTTTTTATTGTGGTTAAGTGATTACATAATTTCACAGTATTGTGGGATAGTGATGCTTAGTTGAAGTCATAAACACATTCTAACCTTAATGGGACAAATTGTCTATCATGGTCTATAAAATTTATGAGTTCTATGGAGTTTGACTATGAAGTTATTTCTTCCAAATTGGGTGATATGTACATTGCTTTCCTTTTGCATAGTGTCAGCTGTTCCCTCTTTCCCACTTATTCCCTCCGTTCCAACACTGCCACTGCCTTACTTAGTTCGTTTTGATCAATGTCCAGTGCAGCTGATGGGTCCACTGTTGTGTTTTCCCATTTCCCTCTAGTTCTGTGTCCTCCCTTCCTAGTTTCCCTCCAATGTGCACATATGTACTATGTATGTGATCAACAGCATGGGGTCATTTAGTAACAATTCGACCAAATGAGTGGCGGTCCTTTGTTTCTCGAGTCTTGTTTACTTTGTCTATTTTGTTGTAGGGGTGATCCATTTTAACAGATCATTCAGTAGACTGCAAACTCTCACAAAGTTGTATCTGATCAATTGCATCAAATTGTATCATTTGGTCTCTCCACCTTCTAGACAAATAAATATTACTGAGACTTTGGATAATATATATTAAGACCTTACAAACCTGACATGATGACACATCCCTCTAATCCTAGCACTGAGAAGCTGAGATAGGCTGATGATGAGTTTGAAAAAGCCTGGGCTACATTCTAACATCCTACCTCAAAAACAAAAAGTTCTTATGGGACTTAACATTTGCTGTAGCTCAAGTGGTAGAGTGCTAGTCTTGAGCCCAAAAAGTCTCCACAGGCCTAACTTGGAAAATATGGCAATTAATTCTCCAAAATATCTTAAACCTATGATCCAAAAAATAGTGATGTTGTAATAATTTTTATCTTAAGCATTTAAAAGCAAATCTACATTATACATACATCCTTAATTATGAAGCTAAGAGAAATAAGACCATCTTATTAAGTCATACAAATCAAACTTCTACATATTTAAAAAATAACGTAGACTAGGTGTGATGGTCAAGCCTGTAATCTTAGCCACTAAGAAAATGGAAATGGGGAAAAGGTCTGAGGCCATCATAGTAAAAAAAAGTTCATGAGACTCTATCACCATCAGTGGCTGGGAGTGGTAAATAGGTACCTGTTATCACAGAAACAAAAGGAAGCACAAATAGGAGAACTGCAGTCCAGACCAGACTGGGCAAAAATTAAGACCCTATCTTAAAAATTACTGGTGCAAAATGGAGCTGGCAGAATGGCTCAAGTAGCAGAATGCCTGCTTAACATGTTTGAGGCTCTGAGTCCAAACTCTAGTACTGCCTAAAACAAAACAAAGCTATTAGATCTTATCATAAAAATAACCAGCACTGTTGGGTAGTACTAGGCCAACATAGCAGACACATGGCCGAGTTCAAACACCTAGTATAACTACCAAAAGCAAAAACAAAAACATAGAATCAAATCAAGTAATTTATTGAGCATTTAATCTAGTATCTGGCACTGGGCTACTACGTATACTTTAAAAAAAATTAAGTAGCATAGATTGGAAATAAACTGCTTCTTTGCCTTCATAAAATTAATATTAACTGTAATTAATCCAAATTTCTTAACATCTAACATTTAATAAAAAAGTTAAGTGAGCCAAAGTACACGTCCTCTAGGGAATATAATACAGGCAATAAAAATAGTTTATTAAAAGCATATGTTTTAAAAGTCTTGGAAACTATTCTGGATAGTAAGTTACAGAAAAGGCATCACGGCTCACATTTACAATCCTTGCTCATTAGGAAGTAGAGATTGGGAGGACACAGTTCAAGGCCAACCTAGGCAAAAAATTTGTGAGACTCAATCAATAGTTGTATGTGGTGTCATGTGCCCATTATCCCAGCTAAATAAAAAGGAAGATGTAAACTGAAGGATCATAGGCCAGCCTAGGCCAGGCAAAAAATAAAAAGCAAGAATCTGTGGCAAAAATTATCAGAGCAAGGAGTGGGGATGAGGGAGAATGACTAAAGAGGTGTCTAATCAAGGTACATTTTATGCATATTTGGCCAAATCAAAATGAAAGCCCCTTGTACAATCAATTATATTCATTAAAAATGTGGGAGATAGGCTGGGAATGTGGCTGAGTGGTACAGTACTTACCTACCATGCATGAAGCCCTGGGTTCCATTCCTCAGTACCACATAAACAGAAAATGCCAAAAGTGGCACTATGGCTCAAGTGGTAAAGTGCTAGCCTTAAGCAAAAAGAAGCTCAGGGGCAGTGCCCAGACCCTGAGTTCAAACCCCAGAACTGGCAAAAAAAAAAAAAAGTGAGAGAAAAAATGGGCAGGAGGTGTCATTCAGTAGAGCACCTGCCTACTAACTGCAAAGTCCTGAATTCAAACCCAAGTACTGAAATTTTTTTTATAAATTTACATATATTTTCTAAAAATAAGATAAATAAAAAATAATATTAATATATTAATAGTAGTGACTTCTGTTTAATAGGTAATGGATATTTTTTCTTCTTTTTTTTGTTTTTTGTTTTTGGGTCCGGTCATGGGGCCTGAACTCTGGGCCCGGGTGCTGTCCCTCAGCTCTTCAGCTCAAGGCTAGCGCTCTATCACTTGAGCCACAGCGCCACTTCTGGCTTTTTTCTTTTTGCTTATGTGGTGCTGAGGAATCAAACCCAGGGCCTCATGCATGCAAGGCAAGCGCTCTACCACTGAGCTACCTTCCAGCCCATTTTTTCATCTTCTTGCAGCTATGTAGTAGTTCTGGTTTCTAAATTATCTAGAATAAATGTGTTACTTTATAACAGAAAAGGGCTTGGAATGTGGCTTTGTGGTAGAGTGCTTGCCTAGCATTCATGAAGCCCTGGGTTTGATTCCTCAGTACCACATACACAGAAGAAGCTGAAAGTGGCGCTGTGGCTCAAGTGGTAGAGCAATAGCTTTGAACACAGAGAGGCTCAGGGAAAGAGCCCAAGACCTAAGTTCCAGCCTCAGTCCTGGCAAAACAAACAAACAAAAAACAAGAAAATTTATAGGAGTACTTAACAATTCCTACAAGGTACCCATCATGTTCATAACCCAAATGTAGGCTCTTGTATCTCTTTCAAATAGCTTCTTTCTAATCTTTCACTCCAAAACCAACTTACCTTCAGAATTTCTCTATTTTTTTTTAAATTTTTGTCAGTCATTGGGCTTGAACTCTGGGCCTGGGCACTGTCCTTTAGCTCTTCAGCTAAAGGCAAGAGCTCTACCATTTGAGCCATAGTGTCACTTCTGGTTTTCTTGTGGTTAACTGGAGATAAGAGTCTTATGGATTTTCCTGCCTGGGCTGGCTGTGAACTGCGATTCTCAGATCTCAGGATCCTGAGTAGCTAGGATTACAGATGCAAGCCACCAGTGCTCAGCTCGATTATAATTTCTGTCTAATATGTATATATATTCAGTTGCCATTTTAGTCATTTTCACTTTATGAGCCATTTTTAGTACATATTTGGCTTATACCAGAATCCTTTCAGATGATCAATAAACTGTTCTATTAGGAAGAACTTATATAACATTATGATGATAACTAAAAAACCAAGAGATTCATTCACTAGATTCCTTTATTCCACTCACCTTTTTTTTTGTTTAAGGTGTTCCAAAGTTAGAATAATACATGCAATCCTGTTCAGGTTTTCACCCTCAATGTTAGGTCCTACCTTTCATCTACAACTTACCTGAAGGCAAAGAGCCCTTCTGATGTGATGCGTGCTGTAACTGGAGAATTTGAAAGCAGTCATTTAAGCAGTTCATAGTTGCCATGGAAGTCGCTTTGAGCATTAAGAGATCCTGGTCCAAGGAACTTAGAAGGCCAGAAGCAGGAAGGCATTCAATCCGCCTAATTAGGTCTCTCTGTTGTCCTTCAGCATGAGACATCATCTAAGTAAAAGAATTCAGTGGATTTCACTCTTAATTTCTGTGAAATACCTATATATATTCAGTTTTTGCTATAATCATCAATCACTTTATGAGCCATTTTAAGATATTTATTTGGCTCAGAAGTCTAATTTAACTTTTTTAGGCTATTTTCACTAGGCATTTAATGATGCCTATCACCTGAAGAAAAGGATATAATCTTTTTTTCCTTTGGAAACAACAAAGCTCAAAAAAGCTCGCCAATTTTCATTAACATCAAAAATGTGTACAAGTTATCAAAAGGAATCTTCCAGGATGTCTTTAGTAATTTCAAATAGCTCACTCCACAAAGCATTTCAGGTTACGGTTCTCAAGCCCTTTCCCCTCATCCCTTTGTCAGGCTTAATGTGAACCAACACTCAGGACACTGTCCTACTCGCCTCCTATTCCCTAACCTAGCTTCTGGTCCTATTCACTTGGCTGGATGGATCTAAGAGCAGTCAGCAGCCGGGCACCAGTGGCTCATGCCTGTAATCCAGACAACTCAAGAGGCTGAGATCTGAGGATCACAGTTCAAAGCCAGCCTGGGCAGGAAAGTCTGTGAGACTCTTATCTCCAATTAACCACCAGAAAACTGGAAGTAGTGCTGTGGCTCAAGTGGTAGAGCACTAGCTTTGAGCTGAAGAGCTCAGGGAAAGCACACAGGCCCAGAGTTCACGCACCATGATCGACAAAAACACACACACACACACACACACACACACACACACACACAAACAGTCCACTTCAGTTAGGAGCTCAGTCTACTTTTCCTTTTCTTTTTTCAATTTATTAACATTTTGAAGCTTTATTTAAATTCTCAGCACTATATACATTACTGAGGTCTTATGAAAACATTTCCCAATATTTAAATTTGTTGAAGCCATTCGCAGGGACTTTAATGACTTTTATTGTCCTTAAGGCTTGTATCATGGCACTATTTTTGCCAGCTTTATCTAAATCTCTTCAACTACCCATTTAGGTAAGCAGATGCACTGGCTGCCTTTCTGTCCACTTTTCCTAACACAGCCAAGAGAATAAAAATGATTGGAGGGAAATATTTAGATGAAAACTGAATTTATGATACTTGACCATTTTCAGGTATATGCAGATGTCTAGATTGCCCATCCTTTGGAAACTAGCTTAGTACATTACTGTTATTATAGAGGTGATGTACAGAGGGATTACAATTACATGTGTCAGGTAATGAGTGCATTCCCTTTCATACAGTGTCTTCTGTTCCTTCTGTCTCTCAGGCCCTCCATCTTCATCTCCATCCACAAGCTGTATAGTTCACTTTCATCAGTGTCCAGTAAACTCTACTGCTGTACTTTTTCACCCTTTTCCCTTTGAGTTCTGTGCCCTCCCTACCATCCTCCCTTGAAAACACCAACATAAAGACAAAATCAAAAAGTAAAAATTTAAAAAGGAGAGATCTCTTGTTTCCGTATCGTAGAGTTCATTTTGGTATATTTTATTTATGTAAATATGAAGAGGCATGTAGGCATTGTACCTTTGTGTTTCTCTCCTAAAAGTACCCTCTTCTGGTTTCACTATGTCTGGAATCCTGAATACTTTATCATATCCCAATGTATTTTAGATCTAATTTCTGCATATCAGAGAAAACATGCAGTTTGTCTCTGAGCTTGGCTTACCTCACCTAACATGATTTCTTCTAGTTCCATCCATTTCCCTCCAAATGACATTTTTTCAAATGACATTATTTTATTCTTTCTTAATGGCTGCATAAAATTCCATTGTGTATAAGTACCACATTTTTTTAATCCACTCATCTTATGGCTATTATGAATAGTGCAGCAATGAACATGGATGTGCAAGTGTCTTTTTCATATTCTGGCTCATGATATTCAGCGTAGGTGCCTAGGAGTGGCATGGCTGGGTCACAGGGAAGCTCTAGACTGCTTTCCAGAGTGGTTATATTAGTTTACATTCCCATCAACAGTGCAGTAGGGTTCCCTTTTCCCCACATCCTCACCAACATTTGTTGTTGTTCAATTCACTGGGATGAGAAGGAATCTTAGAGTTGTTTTGATTTGCATTTCCTTTATGGCCAGGGATGATGGGCATTTTCTCATGTGTTTCTTTGCCATCAGTACCTCTTCTGAGAAGCCTCTCCTTAGCTCCTTTGCCCATTTAGTGATTGGTGTATTAGATTTGGGAGGGGCTTGGAAACTAGCTTCTTTCTCACAGAAATTCTGCAATGTAAACTATATTTGATGTTGGTGCCCTGCATCTTGTATATACATTTTTCTAATTTAGGGAGGAAAAGGGAAATAACAAAATGCTGAAATAAGGATACAGGTTTACTCATTGTAACAATGAGATGTATAAGACACTATGTTGAAAATGAACTTCACAACTTGGGGGTGGGGGTGGGAGGAGTTGGGGAGGGAAGGAGGAAAGGGATGGTAGGGGATAAACAAAGGAGGAGGTAGCAACGCTTGATAGGAAATGTATTCATTACCTTACTCATGTAACTGTAACCCCTCTGTACACTATTTTTACAATAAAATTTTTTTAAAAAAGGAAACAGTTAAAAAAAAGAAAAGAGAAAAAGAAATTCTACAATGTAGATGCTTTAGCTTTCAGAGGCTCTGTTCCAGGTAAGTTTTTGTTGTTGTTGTTGTTATTTTTTTGTTAATCATGGGGCTTGAACTCTGGGCCTGAGCACTGTCCCTGAGCTCTTTAGCTCAAGGCTAGTGCTCTTTACCACTTGAGCCACAGCACCACTCCAATTTTCTGGTGGTTAATTGGAGGTAAGAGTTTCACTGACTTTCCTGCCCAGGCTGGCTTTGAACCGTAAGATCCTCAGATCTCAGCCTCTTGATTAGCTAGAATTATAGGCATGAGACACCAGCGCCTGGCTATAAGTTTTTTGTTTTTTAATTTTTTTTGGTCGGTCGTGGGGCTTGAACTCTGGGCCTGGGTGCTGTCCCTAAGCTCTTCAGCTCAAGGCGAGCGCTCTACCACTTGAGCTACAGCGCCACTTTCAGTTTTCTGGTGGTTTATTGGAGATAGGAGTCTCACAGTCTTTCCTGCCCGGGCTGGCTTTGAACCTCGATCCTCAGATCTCAGCTTTCTGAGTAGCTAGGATTACAGGCGTGAGCCACCAGCGCCCGGCTTTGGCTATAAGTTTTTTAAATGTCACATTCAAACATTCATTTTTTCTTTCTTTCTATGATGCTTGAGTTCAAAGTCAGGGCCATATGCATGCTGAGAGAGTGCTCTACCACTTACTTATACTTCTAGCTCTCAGGTGGTTTGAAATATAGTTTAACACAGGTTACTAAAAGAGAGATACAAAATCATCCTACCAAGTAAACCAAGTATATCATACATGAACATGAAGTAATCCCTAAAAACACATGCCTAAGGTTAAGGATCAAAAATTCACCCATCCTAGAAAAAAAGAAAAGAAAAAAAGAAAGAGAAGGTTTTGAATGAAAAGTACGAGCAGGGTGGCTCATGCTTGTAATCCTAACTCACTGAGAGGCTAAAATTAGGAGGATTCCAGATTGAGGCCAGCCTGGAAACAAATACACAAGATCCCATCCCAACCAATTGCTGGGCACAGCAGGTCACCTCTGTCATCCCAGTTATGTGAGGACATATAAATAGGACAATCAGGGTCCAAGCTAGGCAGGCAAAAAAAACAAGATTCCATATCAAAAGTAACCACCATGGAACCCTGAGTTTGAACCACAGTACATTTATATATGCATGTGTATGTGTATTTAGAATATAAATTTGGAGACCAGTAAGGATCAGTAGTACAAAACTTGTCTCACATACAGAAAGCCCTGGGTTTGATCACAATACTGTAGCATAATGAACAAAACTTGTGGGACTAATCTCCAATAATCCAAACATATACATAGGCACAATCACACTGAAGTAAAGTTTAGAAAATATATTAGAGGGCTGGAAATGTGGCTTAGTGGTACAGTGCTTGCCTAGCATGCATGAAGCCCTGGGTTCCATTCCTCAGTGCCACATAAACAGAAAAAGCTACTCAGGCAATGTGGCAGGAAGCCAGCTCAGGCAGAAAAGTTTGTGAGATTCTTACTTCCAATTAACCACCAAAAAAGCTGGAAGTAGAACTGTGCCTCAAGTAGTAGAGTGCTAGCCTTGAGCAAAAAAGTTCAGGGATATCACTCGGGCCTTTAGTTCAAGCCTTACCTCAGGATGGCACAAACAACAAAAACAATACTGTCTTTTAACTTGTTTATTCTATATTATTTTTTACTCTTTTATTCCCTAATGTTTTTGGTACAATGATAGTTTTTACTGGCATTTTTTGTTTTTTTGGGTCCAGTCGTGGGCCTGAACTCTGGGCCTGGGCACTGTCCCCTCAGCTCTTCAGCTCAAGGCTAGAGCTCTACCACTTGAGCCACAGCACCACTTCCGGCTTTTTTCTTTTTGCTTATGTGGTGCTGAAGAATCGAACCCAGGGCCTCATGCATGCAAGGCAAGCACTCTACCACTGAGCCACCTTCTCAGCCCCTTTACTGGCTAATTTTTATGTTGTCATTTCTGTCATTTTCTTTGTCTTTAATGACAGGGACTGTGCTTAATAGTACAAGCTTAAGTGGGTGCTTGGCCAGTGAGATACACTCCCAGTCCAGCTAAGAAAAACTGTGCTTCATTCTAGCCATGACCTCTAGCTAGTTCCACTTGAACTCTGGAGGATAGTTCACTTAAAAAGAAGGGGAGAATGATGGAAGGAGTGACAAGATCAAGATGCATTGTACTTATAACCTGACTTCTGCACTCTGAAGCCTGTCAGTACAACTACTTAACAATAATAATAATAATAAAAAAAAACCAGGACAAGTAAAAACTCCAGCCAACGACCTGGCACAAGGAGGCATAAATAGGGGTGCCTGAAATCACACTCATAGGTATTTACTCAGCAACAGCACAGAGAAGTAATACACCAGTTGTATATATTGTACCACAACACAACAAATCAATATCCCAGGGAATACTGTCAAGAGAGGCAGCTTATTTAAAAAAAATCTTCATGAAATTGGAAGAGATATTCATCCCAAGAGATGCATAAATCCCACCAGACACACAAGAAATACAAAAAAAAAAAAAAGTGACAGCATCATGACCCTTCCTAGTTAGACAGTTAGAATGTTAGGAACTCTCAATATTATCAGCTGGTGCTGGTGACTCATGACTATTCCTAACTACTCAGGAGGCTAAGATCTGGGAATGGCAGTTCAAAGCCAGCCAGGAAGGGAAGTCCATAAGACTCTTATCTCCAATTAACCACCAGAAAACTGGAAGTGGTGCTGAGGGCTCAAAGTGGTAGAGTGCTAGCCTTGAGTGAAAAATCTCAGGGACAGCACCCAGATGGAGTTCAAGCCCCCCAACCAATAAAAGAAGAAAAAAAAAAGCCTCACCAAAAGCTAGGCGACAGTGGCTCATGCCTGTAATCCTAGCTATTCAGTAAGCTGCAGATCTGAAAATTGTGATTCAAAGCCAATCCAAGCAGGAAAGTTCATGAGTCTCTTACATCCAATTAATCACAGAAAAAGCCAGAAGTGGAGCTTTGGTTCAAGTGGTAAAGTACTAGCCTTGGGCAAAAGGAGCTCAGGCAGCAGCTGGGTCCAAAGTTCAAGTACCACGACCAGCAAAAAAAAAAAAAACAAAGCCAATAGACTAAATCAAGCAGAACAGGGAAAGCCTCAGATGGCACAAAATATATTTAAAACATTTTTGTGACAAAACTGAGAAAGACACTGCTTTTTTGGTTTTGCATTTTAACTTGTCTTCAATTCATACTTACTTCTCTGACTTCCACAAGATGGTCTGGAGGTAAGTGAGCTCTTTTACTCACTGACTGTAGTTTGGAATGTCCAACATTAAAAAAAGAAATGGCGTTTTGACTTGGTCTTCTCTGGGATATGGGCGAATTACCACTAGATGCAAGTGAGAAGCTCCGGGACTTCAGAGGAGGATTATTCTGTGAGACAAAATCATTCCATTCTGTTTTGTAAATACTGACTCTTTCTCCCTCAAAACTACCACACATCTGAGGTTTAAATATGTACAATTTTGAAAATTAATCTTAAAATTCACTACAGACCACTTCTGAAGGTAAAAGTTACTTAAAGCTTAAACATTTCACGTATCCCATAATAAACTAAAATTTTATTTAGAAAATTGACTTCCACCTTTGTTTTTCAAAGAAAATTTTTAATTTTACCAAGTGTATCAGAATAATTGAATATTTCTAATTTCAGGTTTTTTTTTATTCTTTGGTCTTGGGGCCTGAACTCTGGGCCTGGGCGCTGTCCTTCTGCTCTTCAGTTCAAGGCTAGCGCTCTACCACTTGAGCCACAGTGCCACTTTCACTTTTTTCTGCTTATATGGTGCTGAGGAATCAAACCCAGGGCCTCATGCATGCAAGGCAAGCATTCTACCATTGAGCCACCTTCCCAGCCCTAATTTCAGGTTTTTAAACTAACATAATAACCAAATTTGGCAATATACAATATGATTTATCTCCAAATGAAATACACAAGTATCCTTTGGAACAAACCAGTACTTTCTAGGCATTGATAATGATTACAGCATAATGAGTTGTCAGCTTTCCGAAAGACTACTCTACCTACCCAACTGAAAATTTTGCTTTTGTTTGGTTTTCTTTTTTTTATTATTTATTTTTTATTGTCAAAGTGATGTAAAGAGGGGTTATAGTTACATAAGTAAGGTAATAAGTACATTTCTTGTTACTCCCTCTCTCATTTTTCTCCCACTTTCCCTCCCCACCTTGGTTTTCTTTTATACAGAATCATGTTATGTAGCTCAGGTTGGCCTTGAATCCAAGTTTCCCGTGCCACAGTCTATCAATTACTATGACTACAGTTGTGCACATCCACATCTAACTCTATAGGGTAACTTTTAAAAATGACAAGGTGGAGCAAAACATGACAAAAAAATGAAACAAAATTAAGTATTACATAAATATGGAATCCTTTAAATATGTCACCCATGTTACTTTTACAAATCTCTAACTTTGGAAGTATTAAAACATTTTTCACTTTAAATTACACATATATTACGCATACTCATCAGGATATGTACATTTTGACCAAGAACAAATAAAAAGATGTTATGATTAGTCATTAAGGAAATGAGATCAAAACCATAGTAAGAGTTCACTTTCTACCCACTATAATAACTACATATGTTGATAGATATATGTGTGTAAGTTTACATACATATACAGGTATATGTATAGACATATTATTTATAAAGTATTTTATATATATGAATGATACCAGCAAATATTAGCAAGATATGAAGAAATTAGAACTCTAATAAATTTTCAGTAGAAATATACAATGGTACTGGCCATCAGTGGGCTCATGCTTGTAATCCTAGCTACTCAGAAGGCTGAGATCTGAGGACCATGGTTTGAAGCCAGCCCAAACAGGAAAGTCTTTGAGACACTTTTTTTTTTCTACTCCTGGGGCTTGAACTCAGTGCCTGAGTACTGTCCCTGAGCCTCTTTGAGCTCAAGGCTATAGCGCTGTACCACTTGAGCCACAGTGCCACTTCTGGCTTTTTAGAGTAGTTTATTGCAGATGAGAATCTTACAGGGACTTTTCTGCCCAGGTTGGCTTTGAACCGCAAATCATCAGGTCTTAGCCTCCTGAGCAGCTAGGATTGCAGGTGTGAGCCACCAACACTCAGCTTCCTTGAAAGTTTTAGTTCATTGATATAGACAAACCTATGAAAACATTAAGTAGATCAGTAAATGCAGATTGGTGTTTGCCAAAGCTTGGACAGGAAAGAGTAAGTATTAAGTTACTGTTATTGGGTACAAGCTTTTATACGTAATGAGATGTTCTAGAATTATATGGTTGAGATGGCTGCATAACTGTGTTAATATATTAAAACTATGAGATTCTAATTTTTATTTTATTTTTTTGTAGGTTGTGGGGCCTGAACTCTGGGCCTGGGCACTGTCCCACAGCTCTTCAGCTCAAGGCTAGTGCTCTACCACTTGAGCCACAGCACCACTTCAGGCTTTTTCTGCTTATGTGGTGCTGAGGAATCAAACCCAGGGCCTCATGCATGCAAGGCAAGCACTCTACCACTAAGCCACCTTCCCAGCCCCTGGGATTCTAAATTTGAAATAGGGTGTATTTTCTGCTACATAAATACTATCTCACTTAAAAATATAAAAAACAGCATCCTCTCCCCATTTGGTGCACTAATATCATACATAAACCCACATACCTTCCCAATAGCTTCAGTATGATGCTGTGTACATATCTGAAGTCTGCTAACCCAATGTTGTCGCTCTTTAGCATCTGTGGCTGATAAAAAGAACATACAAGTTATTTACTTTTATCTTTATTTAAGGAATAAAATTAAATGTCCACAGCATGAAGAACAGATGACTGAAAAGTAAAGAATAGTACTACTGTTCCTACAGCAAATGTTCTTGTGTACAGAGAGGTTAAAAAAGAAGAGAAAGAACTGGCCTTACCAATGAACACAGTGGTTAATGTGTAAATTTTGTAAGAAGGATACACTACATGTAGCCAGGTGAGGTTAAAACTCACATGTCTTAAAATTCTCATAATGTGTTCTTACATAAACAACTTTTTTTTTGTTTGCTTTTTGCCAGTCCTGGGGCTTAAACTCAAGGCCTGGGCACTGTCCGTGGGCTTCTTTTGCTCAAGGCTATCACTCTACCACTTGAGCCATGAGCCACAGCCACTTCTGGCCTTTTCTGTTTATGTGGTACTGAGGAATTGAACCCAGGGTTTTACACATGCTAGGCAAGCACTCTACCACTAAGCCACATTCCCAGCCCTATTTTTATTTTTATTTGCTGGTCCTAGAGCTTGAACTCTGGGTTTGGGTGCTATACCTGAGCATTTGTGCTCAAGGATAAAGCTTTACCACTTGAGCAATAGTTCCACTTCTGGCTTTTTCTGCGATTAACTGGCTATAAGTGTCTCATAGACTTTCACGCCCAGGCTGGCATCAAACCACAATCCTCAGATCTAAGCATCCTGAGTAGTTAGGATTACAGGTGTGAGCCACTGGTGCCCCAGCCTTTCGTGGGGCTTTAATTCTGGGCCTGGGTGCTATCTCTCAGCTCTTCAGCTCAAGGCTAGCGCTCTACCACTTCACCTACAGCACCACTTCCGGTTTTCTGGTGGTTTATTGGAGATAAGAGTCTCATGGACTTTCCTACACGAGTTGGTTTTGAACCACGATCTTCAGATCTCAGCCTCCTGAGTAGATAGCATTACAGGTGTGAGCCACTGACACCTGGTTTTCCATTTTATTTTTTATTAAGAACATGATATATCATTTAACACTTTCAGAACTTAGCAGCATGGTCCATTAGGATAGCCATCATACTTTATGTGCATTTATTAATATGCAATTTATCTCAACAAAAGTTATACATTAATCACTGAAAACTATAGAGTGCATACGAAAAAAATCAAATCATTTGCATGTCAGATGCAGGAAATATTAAAGAACTCCATATTTTAGGGCTAAACACAAGCACACATCAAAATAATAGCCTCTGCAAATCATTCCATCTCCAAAATAACAGCAAAAAAAACCCCAAACACTCTTTTTTTTGGGGGGGGGGTGTTGTGGACCAGAGTGCTGTCCCACAGCTCTTCAGCTCAAGGCAAACATGCTCTATCACTTGAGCCACAGTGCCACTTCCGGTTTTCTGGTGTAATTGGAGATAAGAGTTTCACAGACTTTCCTGCCTGGGCTGGCTTTGAACAATGATCCTCAGATCTCAGCCTGAGTAGCCAGGATTATACGCTTGAGCCACCTGTGTCCAACAAAAGTCCACCCTTAAACTAACTTGTTCCTCTGTCCTATGCCAAAAACAGTTATTTATTAAAATAGACTCCATAAATTCTCAGAGCAGTTTTGAGATTTAGAATGTTGTGTCTACACAGGGATAGCAGTTTCTTTCCCCAAAACCCAAATAAAGCAGGTCCAAGTACAGCAACTTCTCAAGGGGTGAAGAAAACCATAGTATCGATTTACATTTCCCTGTCATACCTCTGAGTTTATACTGCTCCCCACTTGCAGCATTCACAGTGAAGGTGTGTGAGTCTTCATCACTGGGTGATATCACAGCACCCGCAAGCTGCAAGGTGCCTCTGGGTTTCTGATTTCTAGACTGTTCATTCACAAAGTACTCCAACAGCCCAGCCTCATTATTCAAAACAAAAAACCTGTAATGAAAAGAAAGTTGTAATTTTTAAACATCTTCCCCAGCCAAACTAAAGCAAAGCAAATATCATTTAGAAGTTAGGAACACTTATTAAAAGTAAAATTAAAAAATGTAGTATTTGAAAAACTACCCAAAATATCTTAGCAGTAAAAATTACTGAAGTAGAATGGGCTTCATCAAGAACACAAGTGGGCTGAGAGGGTGGCTCAGTGGTAGAGCGCTTGCCTTGCATGCCTGGGTCCCTGGGTTCGATTCCTCAGCACCACATAAGCAAAAAGAAAAAAGCCAAAAGTGGCACTGTGGCTCAAGTGGTAGAGTGCTAGCCTTGAGCTGAAGAGCTGAGGGACAGCGCCCAGGCCCAGAGTTCAGGCCCCACGACCAGACCCAAAAAACAAAAAACAAAAAAACATCAAGAACACAAGTAATGCTGGTGAGGATATGAGGAAAAAGGAATCTTCATACAATGCTATTGAGAATGTTAACAGTGCAACCACTATGGAAATCAGTATGGAGGCTCCTCATAAAACTAAACATAGACCTACCTGATAACTTCACCATGTCACTATTTGGTATGTATCCAAGGGAGTGAACTTCAGTAGACAACTCGTAATAAACACTTGTGTTTATTACAGTGCTGTTCACAACAGCCAAATGGTAAAAAATCAAAGTGCCCAACCACAGATGAATGGATAGAGATGTGATATATAGATACACACAAATACATACATGATGGAATATTACACAGCCATAAAGAAAATTGAAATGTTATTTGTAGGAAAATAGAAGGAATTGGAAGCTAGACCTAAAAGATATACATATTCATGGGTATCTGTATATGTATTCCTATATACATAAATTTATATGCACAGAATATGATTCTAATTATGGAACTATGGAGGAGGATGAGGGGAGGAGAGAAGGAAAAAGAAAGATGGAGAGCAAATAATTTTGAGATACAACTGTATATGAAATGGCATGTATATGAAATGAAAGTTGCTTATCAATGCAGGATTGGGGGACAGGAAAAGAGAAAGCAGTAGAGAGTGTTATTCTGAACAACATATAATGTGTATAAATTTGGAATACCATGCTGAAAATCCTTTGTGCAATTAATATACAATAAAAAAGATGAATGACAGTAAAACAGGCTCTGATGGAGGAGTTGGCACCACTGGATTGGGGGAAGGGCAAACAATGGAGGTACATGAGTATGGGTATGGTCAACTTAGTTTACTCACATGTATGACATTAGAACAGTGCAATCTGTTTTGTTTTACGAAGGGGGAGTGGGATAAAAGGAGAGTGATAGAGGGAACAAGGTTGTTGTGGATACATTATATCCATATGTGGAACTGTCACAATGAACACCATTGTACAACTAATGTATGCTTAATTTACTTAAAAACTTGAGAGGGTGTGTGTGTGTGCCTGTGTGTGTATGTGTGCATGCCACGCACACATGCACTTGCTCGTGCACATGCATGCGCTTATGCCAGTCCTGGGGCTTGAACTCAGGGCCTCAGTGCTGTCCCTAAGCTTTGCTGCTCAAGGCTAGTGCTCTTCTTGAGCCACAGCTCTACTTCAGCTTTTTGATAGGTAATTTGAGATAAGAAATGTCCCATACTTTCTTGCCCAAGCTGGCTTCAAACCACAATTCTCAGACTTCAGATTCCTGATAGGATTATAGGTGTGAGGCACTGGCACCTGGTTTGAATGAGTTTTTTAAGAGACATAAAATTTGTAACTGGGAAAAGGCATTCCTTTAAATTAATTTTTGTGGTGTTGGAAATCAAATCTAGAACTTTGTTATTGTAGATGTCTTCTACCAGAGCTACATGCCCAGCCTAGAGAAAGGCACTTAACAGGGAAGAGGAATGCCAGCTAACCCACAAAAGCAAACAAATACAAGGAGGAGGGAGATCTTGGAGATTTCTCAAACTCATTAACAGGGAACTTAAACTGCATAAAGACAAATGGTAATGAGAATTTTTATTTAAAAATTCACTGAAGGAAGTGGTGCTGTGGTTCAAAGTGGTAGAGTGCTAGCCTTGAGCAAAAGAGCTCAGGGACAGTACCTAGGCCCTTAGTTCAAGCTCTATGACCAACAAAAAAAAATAAAATAAAATTCACTGAAAATAAATGAAAATATGAGCTCAGAGGTTAGCTACATGTTGGGTAAGAAACAAATATGGTCTAACATTCAGTGCCATACACAATGAGAATAATGTCAAGGGAAAGATTTTGTGAACATATCATTAAATAGGTCACAACTGAAGATTACTTATCCTGTTTAAAAATGAAAAGGCTGCAACTGGAGATGCAGAAACATAAGGAACTTGAAACTGAATGATGAAATACTGATACACTCGGGAAAAGAATTTGATGAAATACTGATAGACTTTGGAAAAGAATTTGATGTTCTGATTTGGTTCTAGATCAACTATTTTAGGAAACAAAATCCCAAGTTAAGTTGTGTAATTTTTTTTCACCTTCAGGTACTAAGAGTTTCGAATGAAAGGAAGGTAGACTCAGGAGAGTTTTGCTGTTTTGTATTCTTGGGCACTACATTGTGGCGCAAGCAATTCTTTGTTTTTGTTGGTCCTGGCGTCTAAACTGTGGGCCTGGGCACTGTCCCTGAGCTCTACAGCTCAAGGCTAACGTTCTACCTTGAGTCACATCGCCACTTCTGGCTTTTTCTGCTTATGTGGTGCTGAGGAATCGAACCCAGGGCCTCATGCATGCCAGGCAAGCACTCTACCACTGAGCCACCGTCCCAGCCCCAGCAATTCTTTATTATACAGTATGCCCATTCTGGATTTATCAAGCTGCTCTAAATTGCCTTTAGTCAAAATAGAAATGGGTTACAGGGAAATTGCCTTACTTATTCACACAGGTACAGCACTTTGGTTAGTTAAGCTTCCTCTGATCTACTTAGAGACTAAGCTACTAAGTCCAGGACTTTTCTCATCATTCAGTCTAGATGTTCCATGCTGAGGACTCTGTACCTGTGCTGGCCTTAGTACCTCCATCCAGAAAACAAATCATGCACTTTTACTTATGCCACCATGCTCTGAGGCTGCGACCTGAAGAATCAGGGTTTGAAGACAACTGGACAAAAGAGTCTTCCAATTAAGTAGCAAAATGCCAGGCTGGAAAGGTGAGTCAAGTGGTATTATTAGCCATGAGCAGAAAAGTCAAATGAGAACATGAGAGCCTGAGTTCAAATCCTGGTACCAGTGTGTGAGTATGTGCGCACGTGCATACATACACATACACACACACAGAGGATTTTTATTTGTTTGAGGTAGGCTGACAGTAGTGACACTGACAAACTGAAGCTTCTCACGGCAAATTGGTAAAGGGCATTGTGTTCTCAGTTACAAACATGGATGTTGCCTTTCACCCCACACTTTCTGAAATCACTAAAACTGGTTTCTTACACAGCTAGCTCTCCATCTTAAAGTGTTGGCATGGGTCTGCTAGCTAGCTCTCCAAGCATAAAGTAGCTTAATGGCTCTTTTAGTAACCCCCTCTGTGCAATGACATAAACCCTGCCTCTCCTTCCCAGGCACTCTCAGGCTGTCAATGACCTGAAATATCATCTGGAACATATACTAAGCTCTATGTGCTTGGATCTTTTTGGGACTTTCCAACTCTATCCCATTTGTCAGCTTTTCTAAATAACATTCAATAAAAGATCTAAATGGAAATTTAAAAAGAGAGGACACAGTACTAAAATATAACATAAGGGCTGGGAAGGTGGCTCAGTGGTAGAGCGCTTGCCTTGCAGGCATAAGGCCCTGGTTCCTCACACCACATAAGCAAAAAGAAAAAGCCGGAAGTGGCGCTGTGGCTCAAGTGGTAGAGCGCTAGCCTTGAGCTGAAGAGCTGAGGGACAGCGCCCATGCCCAGAGTTCAGGCCCCATGACCGGAAACCCCCCCAAATAAATAAATAAAATATAACATAAAATCCGTTATGTTACTAAAATGTAACAAAATCCATTAAAAGATTAATATTCTGTATATTTTTAATATATATCTCCAAAAACATAAAAACTGAGAAATTTTTGTAACAGAAAACTAAAAATTGGGCTGGGAATGTGGCCTAGTAGTAGAGTGCTTGCCTACTATGGGTTTGATTCCCCAGTACTATATAAACAGAAAAAGCTGGAAAAGGTGCTGTGGCTCAAGTGGTAGAGTGCTAGCCCTGAGCAAAAAGCAGCTCAGGGACAGTGCCCAGGCCCTGAGTTCAAGCCCTACAACTGGCATTAAAAAAACAAACAAACAAAAAACAAATAAACAAAAAAGAAAGAAAACTACAAAATTAAAAGGCTCTTACAGGGGCTGGGAAGTTGGCTCAGTGGTAGAGCGCTTGCCTTGCATGCCTGAGGCCCTGTGTTCGATTCCTCAGCACCACATAAGAAAAAAGAAAAAAGCCAGAAGTGGCGCTATGACTCAAGTGGTAGAGAGCTAGCCTCGAGCTGAAGAGCTGGGGGACAGCGCCAAGGCCCAGAGTTCAGGCCCCATGACTAGACCCCAAAAAAATAAAAAAAAATTTTAAAAATTAAAAAAAATAAAAGGCTCTTACAGTGTCTTTCTTTTCTTTTCTTTTGCGGGGGGGTATGATTGTGGGGCCTGAACTCTGGGCCTAGGTGCTGTCCCTCAGCTCTTCAGCTCAAGGCTAGCACTCTACCACTTGAGCCACAGCGCCATTTCCGGCTTTTTTCTTTTTGCTTATGTGGAGGAATGAAACCCAGGGCCTCAGGCATGCAAGGTAAGCGCTCTACCACTGAGCCACCTTCCCAGCCCATCTTTTAAAACAATTTTTAAAAATAAAAAGGAAAAGAGGGCCAGACACGAGCTATTCAGGAGATAGAGAAAGATAATGGTTCAAGATTGGCCTGGGCAAGAACAAGAGATCCTATCTAAAAAAAGGACTGAGAGGTCATGTGCCCTTCAAGCACAATACTGAGTCAGACTCTAGTACTGCTGAAACAAAGGAACCCAGGAGAACTGCCCGCTTCAATAGAAATTTTCCCCTTATAAGCCGGGCACTGGTGGCTCATGCCTGTAATCCTAGCTACTCAGGAGGCTGAGATCTGAGGATCGCGGTTCAAACCCAGCCCGGGCAGGAGAGACCGTGAGACTCCTATCTCCAATAAACCACCAGAAAACTGGAAGTGGCGCTGTAGCTCAAGTGGTAGAGCACTTGCCTT